CGCCGCCATGGTACTGTAGATGAATGCTCGGGCCACGCTGTAGGCCGCGAAGCTCAGGAGCTGCGAGTGAAGATTGGGGACGGTTGTGACGATTTTTGAGGCGCCTCAAAAAAAGATTGGGGAAGGTTGTGCAGGTGGGCAGAGAGGTGGGATGAGAGAGAGAAAGAAGCCAAAGAAGGAAGCGATGAGCGATGACATGGTGCTGTAGATGAATGCTCGGGCCACGCTGTAGGCCGCAAAGCTCAGGAGCTGCGAGTGAAGGGGTGTGGGGGGAAACCGGGGATGGACGTGGGGACGAGAGGGGTGGGACAGAGCAAGTGGAGAGTGCGTGGGAGTGGGCCACTTGCGGAGTGGGCACTCGACTCCCACTGGCCAGTGCCCACTCCCACGCACGTGGGAGGTGTTGCGGAGTGGGCCAGTGCATGTGGAGCGCATGGCAATGGCATCACATCATGACATGATCAGAATGATGGCACGATGGTATGATGGCATTGAATTAAAGCATCATGCGATGGCAGCAAGCACTACTGGGCGGCATACCATGGCGTCTAGTGGAAGGCAGGGGGCGAGGAGCAGCAGCAGGGAGGAGAGGAGCGAGAGGGCGGCAGTGATGGCGAAGGCGGGCGGCAGGCCGAGGGAGTCGATGCTCCAGCCGGCCAGAGGCACGCTGAGACAGCCGCCCAGCGGGAGAATGCAGTTGAAGGCGTCGATGTATTGCTGCTGCACTGCTGCTGTGGATGGCGGATGGATAGCCTTTGCATGCTGCGATGGAGGGGAGAGAAGAGAAGGACAGGGGAGGCACGGAGGCAGTTGAAGACATCGACATAGCTCTGCTCCATGGCTGCTAGAAATGATTGCGCTGCTCGAGTCTTTTGTGGTGGACAGCAACGTCATGTCACAGCAACGGTGCAGACATTGGAGTGCAGCAGAAAGAAGCTTTTTTGGAATTTGATAAGTCGACTAAGCAATGTGCCCATGCCGTATGTCACTCACCACGGCGAAGCTGATCTGGTCGTTGACAGCAGCGATGTATACGTTGGAGCGCAGCACGTAGAAGGCCGCCACCCCCACGTGCACCCAGAACAGGGGTGACCTGCGGTTGGAAGTGAGTGAGTATAAGGGTGGGAGGGGAAGGAGAGACAGGGTGAGAGGAGTGAGGCGTAAGGAGGAGTGTGGTTTAGGTGCTTCAATATACACGTTGGAGCGAAGGGCATAGAAGGCCGCCATCCCTACGTGCACCCAGAAGAGGGGCGACCTGCGGGTTGTTGCAGTGGGAAACCCGGGGGAAGTGGTATTGGAAGTGGGGAAGAAGCAATGAGAACAAGGCCACACAGAGGACATGCAGAGGAAGGCCGACACGAGCATATACACCAAGAACAAAGGGCGACCTGCAGTTTGTTCAGTGACCTGGGCATTACACAGATGGCAGGGACACCTGACCTTGGTGGCGATATCGGCATTGTAGATGGCGGGAGGGGGGGGGGGGCAGCCACGGGCACTGGGTGCTCTGGGCGTGGAGGTTGTTGAATGTAAAACTACTTCTCACGAAATGATATTGTGAGCCCTGAACCAGAAGCGAAAGATCCTGATTGCAGCAGGCATGGGCAGGAGGCAGATGAGAGGGGCACCTGAGCTGCGTGGCAATGTCGGCGTTGTAGATGGCGGGAGGGGGCGGCAGGCACGGGGTGCTCCTGCCGTGGAGCCACACGATGGGCAGACTGGGAGACACCGGGACGCTGCTGCCTTGCTGTGTGACAGCTGGCAGCGCCACGTGGCATGCTGACGTGGTGAGCTCGTCAGCAGCAGCAGCAGCAGTGCTCGCAGCACCGGCATCCACAGCAGCAGCCTTATCACTGCTGGTAGCCCCCATGAGGCGCAGCAGGTACAGCCGCTCTAACTCCCCACTGCGCCTCGGCCCCCTCCCGCCCTGTCTCACCTCAGTCCGACCCCCCTCCTTGTCCCTTCTCCCCATTGCTGTCAATCTTGTTTCCATCCCCTCTCTTGCCCCTCTCATTCCATACTCCTCCCCACGTGCGTCCTCATGTTCCCCGCCGCTCCTTCCCACATCGGGCCTCCCTTGCCTCCTCTCCCCCTCCTCCTCGTCTGACTGGCCCTGCGATGATTGCTCTTTGCGTGCCTGCCCCTCGCTTGAATGCTCCTCGCTTGAATGCTCCTCGTTTGCGGGTTGCAGGAGAGGCGCGGTGAGCAAAGACAGTGGGTTGGGATGGGGTGACGAGGAGGAAGGGATGGTGGAGGTGGATGGAGGAGTGGTGTGCGGTTCTGAAACGGGTGAGGCGCCAAAGGGACTGCAGAGACGAGGACAGGGCGAGGGGGAAGGGGGGAAAGAGGAAGAGGTGGCCGTTAAGAAAGATGGGAAACGGTGGGGGGGGGGCGTGGATGGATGGTGATCAAGGGAGCGGTAGGGACTGAGCATGGGGATAAGCACCTCGGCTCGGACGTGAGTTGGCAGGGTGAGGTGACAGCAAGCAGCAGCGAGGCCGAAGAGGAAGAGCACAGCGAAGGACAGACACAACGCAACCATTCTCCCTCACACCATCCAACACACTATCACCCTAGCCCCCCCCCCCTCCCCTCCTCCCCCCCCCCCCCCCCTCCCCCCCTCCCCCTCCCTCCCTTTTCAGACCCGACTCATCGCACACATCGGGGAAAGTGGCGGCGGCGACGGCAGCAATAGCAAGCGGCACGGTCAGGTAGGCGAGGCAGACAGCCGAGAGGGCGAGGTGAAGGCGTGAGACGGTAAGGGCGAAGAGGAAGAGCACTGCAGCTGAGGCGTCAAAAGCGCCGCTCTGTGCCGCAATGACCGCTGCTGCTGATGAGGGAAGGAGCTCCGAGAAGTTAATCTGGTGAGAGAGGGCGGGGGGAGATAGAGGGGGAAGTGGGAGAATGATTGGAATGGTGGGTCCCAAGGAAGGAGGCGCGAGGATTGGGGTGTTGGATGTACAGGCAGGCAGGCAGGAGGGAGGCTCACTCTGGAGACTGAAATTTTGGGAAGCCGGACAGTGGATGGATAAGTGAACACACATAGGGTAATTGCAGGCACAGCAGCAAAGCAGCAGCACAGTGCATTGCACTGGCCGTACCATGGGCGTGAGGATGAAAGGCCCTCCAAGCGCCAGCAGAAAGAAAGCCGCAAAGAAGCACACCCCTGCAACTCCAATCCCCTTATTCGCCCCTCTCAACCCCCCTGTCATCCATCCGAACCCCTCTGTCATCCCTCCTGTTCCCCCTGCCTCTCCCCTCGCAATTTCGCCCCGGGCAGCCATGCTGTCCCCATCCCATGCCCTGCCTGGTGAGTGCCCCTCCACATGGCAGCCTGTGATTGGCTGGGAACGATTGTCTGACTGCTCGAAGCGAGAGGGGCAATAGTGCAGCGGCCACGGCAGGGGGAGAGGGCGGAGGAGGAGGGGGGACTTGGTGTGGTGGCATTCATAGGCAAGCAAGGCGGGGGCCATGTAGAGCAGCGGGGCGGAGGCGGGAGGCACTGGCAGGGCAGGGGGAGGGGCGGGTGGGGACGGGTGGGAGAAGGCGGAACCGAGGGCGAGGGCGAGGAGGCCCGCGGAGAAGACGAGAGAGCCTGTGATGGCTGTGATGCGCGGGCCGTATGCGTCTAGGAACGCCCCCACTGGCAGCACACACGCGCTGTTGGTGACCATGCCTGGTGGTGTGAGGAGGGGAGACACGTGTGTGTGGAGTGAGCACATATACAGGAAAGCACATGAATGTTTGAACACATGGCACAATGCACACATGCCAATGCACGCGTGCCAATGCACACATGCCAATGCACGCGTGCCAATGCACACATGCCAATGCACACATGCCAATGCACACATGCCAATGCACACATGCCAATGCACACATGCCAATGCACACATGCCAATGCACACATGCCAATGCACACATGCCAATGCACACATGCCAATGCACACATGCCAATGCAGGGTGCATAGGGGGCATGAGGGCTCAGGAGCAACAGAGTGCACACATTTATGCCACATCACCCCTTCATTACAGTCACGCACTGAGGGTGTAGGCGGCGTTGAGCAGGTTCATCTGGGCGGCGCACGGCACAGCCTCGCCCGCCCCGCACGCGTCGCTGAACGCGCCCACGTCCGCCACCAACACGGGCAGGATGCCCGAGTACCCGTAGATGATGCCTGGCGCGGGGGGGATGGGGGGAAAGGACGGGGGAAAGCGGTGAATTGGGGAAGCGGTCACGCGGGGGAGCGCGGCGAGTTGGGGAAGTGGTCACGCGGGGGAGCGGGGAGCGGGATTAAAGCAATGTAGTATTTTCCAGGGATGGAGATTCCGCAAGTTTCGCGCGCCAGTGACGGCAATATCTCAGTACCGGCGGTGAGCAGAGCGGCGAGCACGGAGACGGAGACGAGCAGCACCCGCGTGCCGCGCGACAGCTGCGCCTCTTCTTCCGCTCGCCCTGCGCGCGACTCCATTTCCGCGCGCGGATCCGCTTCTGATTACACGCTGCCACGCGCGCTCCTGGTTATCAACCCACAGCGTGCGAATGCGAGAACGAGAATGGCGGGTAACAAGACAGCTTCGCGAACATCTCGCGATTGTTAAAAGACGTGGGCTTTGGCGCCAGAAGGCTTTCGATTACGGCGACATAGCTACGGGAAGTGTGAAACGAAGACGAGAGGAGCGGGGTAGGCGGGATTTGGTTTTGAGATTCGAATGGTGCAGACGGGGAGGAAGGGAAGGAGTGGCGGCAGGTCGCAATGATCGGACGGCTGGGGATGGAAATGCTGCAGGGAGGAGAGTGCTGCTGAGCATCGTGGCGTGGTGTGTGATCGCCACTTGGCGAGCGCTATGGTATCTGGGATCGGGAATCCCAAGGGCGCTCCGTGATTCGCGATTGATTGGCTCTCTTCACCGGAAAGTCAGATCCAGCCTTTAATAATGAAATGAACTATATACATATCTACACTGATAACGGAGGGCGCAACAAAACACCCTATGCTCTACTTCCCATGACCTACCCTAGGCAGTGGTCTCCAGAAATAACCATACATGGCTACTGAGAGGTAATATGGAAATGTGGCTGTTAGTATCAGTTCTATAGCGAGGAAGAGACCATTCACGAGTACGAATTGTGCGCCCATGGATGACTCACAAGCACTGCACATTGGCAAAAAGGTTGAGATCAGTTGGTGGCAGGTCAGCAAGATACTGCAGCAATCTTTCTGACTTGTCCAGAAACATCACCATCAGTCTGCAGTCTTACCTCGTCAGAGGGTATTGTAACAATGTGAGGAATGCGCCTCCTAGCCGGTTGATCCCATAGAGCCGACCGAAGTTACGGAAGCCAAAGAGAGTACCAATGTATGTCGCCATGGTGCTGTAGATGAATGCCCTGGCGATGGCAAAGGCAAGGAACGCCACCAGCTGCAGCACAGGCTCAGGTTTGAGAGAGGAACCAAGACGTGGAAGGAGGGGGGGAAGGTGAAGAAGGATGGCGCTGGGGATGGATGAAGGCCATCATCACCAGCACACGTGGGGAGAGAAACGGAGAGAAAAGAGGGTGTTGGATGGCGGGGTTGAAGCTGGGGTAAGGGGAGGATAGAGAGTGTCCAGTTTTAAAACCCGCAACAATCAAGACCACGCAGTAAGGCACAACGCCCCACCTGCATGGGAAGCGGCACCCAAGCGGCCATCATCTGAACCGCAGAGCAGAGCGCGCAGAGCAGCGTGGTGAGTGCGAAGGAGAAAGGCAGCCCTGGGCGCTCCATGCTCCACCCCGCCAGCGGCACGGCTAACACCCCGCCCGCTGCCAGCACGATGTTGAATATGTCAATGTATCGCGTGATTTGGGCGGCAGCATCGGATGGGAGGTCGGTGGTTGCGGTGGAGGGAGGGATGCTGAGGAGAGTCGTCTGATTGGCGTGGAGGGGGAGGGGGGGCATTTGGTACATGGGAACAAGGAAACAAGGAAACAAAGAAGATGGGGTGCTGCAGATTGCGACGTGTGAGTTACAAGATGGCACACGGCAGACCGAACAATACACATGACATATGTCATGCGTTGCATGGCACATGGCACATGGCACATGGCACATGGCACAGGGCACGTAGCGTACAAGGACCACGGTGGAACGAATGGGAGTGTTGGCAACATCAATGAAAGAAGTTGGAGCGCAGCACAAATCAAGACATGAATGTAGAGGACAGCATATGCTGTGTACCATGGATGCTGGATACTTCGATGCGTGAGTTGACAAATAGAGCATAGCACATAGCACATAGTAGATAACGGATAACACATGGCACGCACCACGGTGTAGCGGATGTGGGTGTTGACAGCAGCAATGAAGAAGTTGGAGCGCAGCACGAGGTATGCCGACACTGCCACGTGCACCCAGTACAAAGGCGACCTGGTGCCGTGCAGGGGGCGATCCCAGGGAGAAGGGCGGAGTTGATGTGCAAGGGATGCTTCTGATGAGAGATCTACGAAAGACATGCTGAACAGGAAAGGGAGGCGTGAATGAGACAAGCATTTTGCAGCAGCGAGGAGGAGCCGCGTGGCTATCCGTGCGCGTGGCGCACCTGAGTTGGTGTTTGAGCGGGGAGTTGAAGATGTCAGGTGGAGGTGGAGGTGCTATACCTTCCGTTGCTCCTTCCTCTCTCGCTGCCCTTGCACCCGCCGTTCCTGTTGCTCCTTGTGATTCTTTTGCCACTGCTGCTGCTGCGTGTGCCAGGCGCAGAGAGTAGAGCCTCCCTAGCTCGCCCTTCTCCCACTGACTCCCCTCCTCCTCTCCCTTTCCCCCCTCTCCATCCATCTCTCCCTCTTTCCCATCCTCCCCGCCGTTCTCCCCATCATCGTCACTCGAGCCGCTACTGTACACCAGAGCTATCACGCTATCCTTCCTCTCCCCCCCCCCGCTGCCAGTCTCTCCTCCACTCTCACTGCTGCTGCTGCTGCTACTACTGCTGCTGGAGCACTCTTCTATCTCCTCGTCATCAGCTATACCATCACCTCTCACTTCTATCCCCCTTCCCTCCTCCTCCATTGAACGTTCCACCAATACCACTTCCCCTTCCTCCTCCCCGCCCCCTTCTTTCCACCCCACCCCTACCTCCGCCCCGTCCCCTCCCCCATCCCCCCTGACACGCACTCCCGCTGCTGCAGCGTCCCCCCCGCCCCCATCCGCGTGCGTATCCCCACTCCCACCGCTTTCAGCAGCCTTCGCAGCGCCAAAGGGGGAGTTGGGGAAGGCAGCGGCAGCAAGGGCAGCAAGGGCGAGGGGCACGAGGCTGTAAGCAAGGGAGAGGGCGGAGAGGGGGAGGTGCAGGCGCGTGACGGCGAGGCCGAGCAGGAAGAGGACGAGCGAGGACGCCTCGAATGCGCCCGCCTGTGCGCTGATGATGGCGGCTGACAGGCGCGGCACGAGCACACAGAAGTTGATCTGGAGAGGGGTGGAGAGGGGTGGAAAAGGGTGGAGAGGGTCGGAGACGGGAGAAGGGAGGGAGGGCAGAAGGGACGTAGGGGGGAAGGAGGGATAATGGAGAGGCATTAGACCAGGATGCTGAAGTTGACCTGGCAGTGGAAGAAGTGGGGATCGCGGACAGACGGAGAGAACGTGAGGACCGTGCTAAGAGGTTGGGGGCCGTATAAGGCGTGGGAGTGGAGGAGGGGAGGAATCAGGGAAAACTGGAAGGGGGGAGGCGGGGCACGCACGGAGGAGGTGAAGATGAAGGGGCCGCCCAGGGAGAGCAGGAAGAAGGCGGCGAAAAAGAACACCCCCGATGCCGCCTCCTCCCCCCCGCTGCTCCCCTCCGCCGTCCCCCCTGCGCTCCCCTGCCCCTCCGCCTCCAGCTCTCGCCGCTGCACCCCTCGGCCACTGCCCTTCCCTTGGCGCCCCCGACAACCTCCAATCCTGCGCCAACACAGCAACACGTTCTTCACTCCGCCCTGTCCTCTCCTCCAGTGCGGGTCCCCATTCGCCCATCACCATTACCTTGCGCGCAACTTCTCCCGACCCATGCGCACCCCTCTTTCCCCCAGTAAGCTGCGCCCACGACCCCCCTGGTAGCAGCAGTCCCCCGTTTCGCCACGCTGCTTCGACGCGCATCAACCCCCGTGGGCGCTGCGTAATGACCGCCGCGACAGCAACGCTCGTATTCTCGAGTTCTGCCGTTGCTGGCACTACAATTGTGGCACTCGCGGTACTATTACTACCAGTACTACTAATGCTGCTCGGCGGAGTTCCGCCGTCAGGCGCGGCGTCATTATGCCCCCCGGGCGCGAACGCGCCGGCGCCGGCGAGGGCGAGGAGGCCGAGGGCGAAGATGGCGGTGCCAAGGAGTGTGGTGCGGCGGGGTCCGGTGCGGTCGAGCACAAAGCCCACCACGATGACGCTCGCGCTGTTGGTGAACATGCCTGGGAGGGGGGAGGTTGATGGGGGGTCGGGGGAACGGGGGGACGAAGGGATAAGTTGCGGAGGGAAGGGAAGGGAAACCGGGAAAGGGGAAGTGGAAGGCGACGTTGCTGGTGGCCGAATTGAGAACATGAAAGCTGAACGCCGCGGGGATTCACACGGATTTGGAAAGGCGGCACACGCGCCGGCGCATGTGCTTGAAGTACCGCTTCGCACTGAGAGTGAAGGAAGCGTTGAGCATGCTCATATGTCATTCGCCGCACAGTGCGAAGTGACTTTTGATTTGACTCAAAGTCACCTCGGAGGTATCATGCGAGTTGAGCGGGTAGGCAACGCACTGAGGGTGTAGGCAGCGTTGAGCAGGCTCATCTGCCGCGCGCACGGCACTGGTTCGCCTGCCGGACACGCGTCGCTGAACGCGCCTACTGGACCAGTAAGCGCGGGGAGGAGGCCCGAATATCCGAACGTGACGCCTGGCGGAGGCTCGAAAAATGGGTTGAGAAGAGGTGGCACGGGATGGGAGAAAAGCCTTGATGAAATGCGTGGATATGGGCTCAAACTAACGGACCAGAATTTCGTAAATCTCTTATTCCATGAACGAGAACCCGAGGCGCGCAATACCACTGTCACCGCGCGGTGGGAAAAAAACGCGGTTACAGCTAGTAATTCGGATACAAGACAACGTACCCGCAGTGAGAAAGGCGGCGACGATGGAGGTAGTGACGAGCAGAACACGACGACCGCGAGACAGCTGCTCTGGCCGACGCGCCATCACGTAGCGATTTCAATCTAGTACTACTAGCTGACGGACCAATCCCGAATTTCACTATCTACGAGACTGTGCGTCTATCTTGCGCGTTACGCCAAGTTCTAAAAAGCGAGGCCGGCATCAATGCGCCCGAAGACCGAGCCTTCTCTAAGTTCCAATTGAACTTGGTCGAATCTACGTTATTGCTCCTCCTGAGTTGTTTCTGCAATCCAGTCTCACCATTTGTTGATTTCCAACCTCGAGTTTCCATACCAACCCTCATCCGTATCAGTCATTGCCTTCAATCTAGTCCCAACGACCGCATCGCGCAGTGGTTGGGATTTCCCCGTTATTGGGCAGATTGGGCAAACCGCTGAATTTCAGCCCCGGCCTCCAGGTTGTACTGTATCGCCTTCTCGAAGCTGTGGATCTGCTTTGGGATTCGTCTTCACCCCGCTGGCTCTCACACCGCCAACGCGCGCCAGCGACAAGGCTAAACCGAACCTGCAGCAGCCAATCATAAGATGACTTGCTTGGCTCTTGGCGGTGGAAAGGCCAGCGCAGAGGAAGGATGGCAAATCTGGGATTGCGTGACTGGAGCCAGATGGCGTCAGGCTGTTGGTGAGGTTGTGTACTAGTCACCGCACGCGTCAAACACGCAACAGCTCAGAAAATCATCTGTAACATCTGCAGAGAAATGATAAAATAAGAACAGTTTGTTTTAGTAACAGAAAAATGGTATTGATACATTTTCACGCACAAATTTCACTCCGCCACTTATCACCACAGGAACTGCTCACATCAACATCATGTTGCCGTACATATAGACGAGGCAACGGGAACTAAATCCACTGTTCAAGAGGCAGATGCAGACTGTTTCTGCTTCTTCCTCTCACGCTTCTCCTTGCGCTTAAGGGAGTCCATGTGCGCCTTCAGCACGAGCGCATAAGCCGCCTGAAACTTGGCGTGCTCCCGAGGTCCCAGCTGCAGTAAGAGACAACATCCAGAGAACACAAGACAAACCCCCACCAAAGCTCGCGTGAAGTTGTCATGCAGCAACTTTTTGTAAGCATGTTGAAATGCATGTGGCACGCACATGCACGCCGCATGAGAGGACCCACACACTCACCAGAGTGCTGATCTTCCTCTTGCCGTCGGTGGCCCTCACCACACACCGGTACTCCGCAGCACTGCTCTCATCCTCCTCCACGTCATCCGCCCCTGCCTTCTGCGCACCTCCCTTGGGTTTCTTGCGCAGATTGGCTGCAGGGAGTGGGGTCGACAGAAGCAATGGCGGAACTCAAAAACCATGGGAAACAGGCAGTTTCGATGTGGAAGAGAAGCACCACGAAGGCTCCAGCTTCTGGTTTCTAGAAACAAGTCTCACTTCCACTTAAATCTTGTACCTCCACCCACACCTGAACCCCCCAACTCAATGCGCTTTAGCCCACCCCCACCGGCACACACAACAATTGAGTCCACCCCCACCGGCACACACAACAATTGAGCCCACCCCCACCGGCACTCACAGCGCTTGAGCTCCCCCCCATCAGCACTCACAGTGCCTGAGCCCCCCCTCCCCCCCCCCCTTCCCCTCTCTCTCCTCCCCAGCAGCACTCACAGCGCTTGAGAGTGACCCAGACGGTGCCGGCGCCCTTGTGGCGCTCGTACAGCTTGGTGAGCTCGTTCAGAAAGGGGTCCGGCTCCAGCAGCATCTGCCATGCAGGGGAAGGAGGCGTGTGTGTGGGGGGGGGGGGGAAGGGGGTGCGGGACAGCAGGATGCGGGTAACGGAGCCAGGGGCGCAAGGAGACAGATTGGTGGGCTCGTTCAGAAAGGGGTACAGCTTTAGCAGCATCTGCCACGCAGGGGAGGTGAAGGGGAAGAGGGGGGAAGAGGAGAAGGAGGTGCCGTGTAGCGGGGGCCAGGCAGTGGGGTAAAGGGTAAGGGGAGAGCCTGGTGAGCTCGTCCAAAGAAACGCCCCGCAGCAGCATCTGCTACGCTGGCAGGGGGGAGAAAGGGGAGAGAGCAGGCGGCAGGAAGCGAGGACCAAGAGCACAAGAGATCTTCACGGCGCCTCGAGCAACAACCAGTGGCGCAAGGGCACAGCTTGGTGAGCTCGTTGAGGAAGGGGCCCGGCTCCAGCAGTATCTGCCTCGTCAGCAGAGCGAGAGGGAAAGGGGGTGGGGGGAGAGACGGGCAACGGGCGCAACGTGAGGAGCAGCGAATGTGAAAGAAAGGCTGCTCAGTGAGACGTAAACGAGTGGCTGAGATTGAATGAGAGAGGAGGGACGGCGTGGTGAGAAGGGGGAGCAGGTCGTAAAGGCACTGGAGAGGGAAAGGCATGTATGAACGTATTGATGAGACCAAGGATGGGGGCGGAAAGGAAGAGCAGAGGGGGACGATGGGGCGCACGACGGGAGAGAAGGGGGGGGGGAGAGCGAGAGGGGACGGAAGTTGGGAGGGGGGAAGGGTGCAGGGGAAAAGACGGCGAATTAAGAGTGAGGGTGGGGTGGGGAAGGGGGGGAGCGTGGAGTAGGGGTGGGGTGAAGAGGAGGGGGGGTTGAGGGGGGATGAAGGAGGGGGGGAGGGTTTGAAGCGTGGATGTAGAAAAGGACAAATCACGTCCGTTGGCAATTCATTGAGTAATAAAGTACATTCGCACTATAGAAAACGAGGTAGAACAAAAAAGCGTAGCGCCTGCAACACTGCTCCTGTTGCTGCTTCTCTGCCACTACTTTTGAGGCGCCTCATAACTTGCTTCTCTGCCACTACCAGCCAATCGGCCCCTATCCGTGTTACTCTTGCCGTTTCCCCTCTACCGCTACTCCTAGCAACGCCTGCTCCTCCGCCTGCTGCTGCTGCTTCGTCACTGGCAGCACCACAGCCGCAGCAGCAGCGGCGGCCTTTTCCCTCTCAACAGCCCAGCTGTACGCGAGCATGCCGAGCACGGCGACCGCCATGCCCATGAGGTTCTTGGCGGTGAGCGGCGAGTGGAAGAGCGCAGAGCCCAGAACGAGCACGAACAGCGTCTTCATGTGCCCCAGCACCTGGAACGACACCGCGGAGAACTTCCCGATGCACAGGTACATGGAGAGGTTGACGAAGAGCGCGAGTACGCAGGAGAGCACGATGAACGCCACGGACGCGGGCGTGGGGCGGAAGGCCAGCAGGCTGCGGCGCGTGAGGAGGTAGTCCACTGTGGGGCCGCAGATGACGAGCAGCACGGCTTGGTACGGCGCGGTCTTGCTGAGCAGGTCGAAGGATCCGATGCTGTACTGCTTCTGTAGCGACCCGATGAAGATCTGCTGGAAGGTGGTGGAGAGCACGGCGACGATCGCGGCGAGAAGCCCGGCGGTGTTGACGGTGACGTCAGTGACGGTGCAGATGCCCACGCCGACCATCACGCCGACCACGGCGGCTTTCACGGCGGGAGAGAACGTCTTGCGGTGCAGCAGCGCCTCGAAGAGGCAGCAGGCGGGAATGATGGAGAGTTTGGTGATTTGGTAGAACCCCACTGAGTTCACCATGAGGGATACGTTCATGCTCACGACGGCCAGGCTCGCGACGAACGCGAACCACAGCAGCGTGCGCGCCGGCACGTGCTTGCTCGGTGCGAGCGCGCCAGCGGCGGTCGCGGCGTTGCTGACGGCAGTGGTGGTGATGAAGTGGAGCGCGGTGAGGGACGTGGCGAAGGCGAAGCCGTAGGAGGTCATGAGCGCCTTGTTGACCATGATGATCCCCACCGACGACACCACGTTCATCCCCCACGCGCCCGCCCATGACAGCGCTGCCGGGTCGTTCAGCATCGCGGCGAGGCGGAAGGAGACGGACGCGGAGGGCGCGAGCGGGAGGGGAGAGGGCTAGCGGGCGTGTAGCGTCTGCTGCAGATAACTACGTGTACCAGCCAACTGGGCTATTGAGCAGCCACTAGCGACTGGCTTGGAGTGCTCATGGAGCGGGCTAGACGAGAAAAGGTTGTCGAGTGCTAAGCGACAGTACTGCACGATTTAAACTGATTGCGATGCTGAATCTTTAAGAGAGAGCACGATGAGGAGGACGGCAGCTCGAACCTCTACACCCTCGCGCTGTAACGTGACTAATCCCTCCCCCGTGCTGGTCGAACTGTTCTTGCCGCTTCGCGTCGCAAGAACAGACCCCGAGCCTGCAAGGTCAACAGGCAGGGGGGTCACACGGGGAGGAGCGGAAAACTTTTGAAGTCGTTCAAAAAAAAAAAAAAAAAAAAAAACGGGAGAATAATCGCAGGAGAATGAGGGTCTTTTGCGTCCAGTCAACTACTCGGGCACGAACTTCGTTCACGCGCTCGCCCAGGTGGTGAACTAGGTCATGGGAGCGCAAGGCTCAAGTCCAGCAGTTACCGCGACAACGGAAGGCCATGGTGGTTCGAAGGCCAGAATTATTCTGAAGCCGTTCGGAATTCAGATCAACTGGGGTAATTCTAGAGTCCGTGATGCCGAATTCGGAAATTAAGAAAAGGTTTTCTTATTCGACATGAATTCCAGGTAAAATCTATGAATCCGCACATTTAACACAACCAAGTTGCGCATGGCAGCTGTATTAGATCACGGCTCCCTGAAGATTGCCACCTTATCGCACGTCAATGATGAAGGACGAACACACGAATGATTATAAGCTACGTAATGGTCCACAGATGCAGGAGCTCACCTTATAAAACTGGGAGGATCGGAAGGAGTAACCTGGTTGATCGCCAGCTGCAGGGGGTTGGCAACCTTCGAAATAGCAGACTAGAAGCACAAGAGTCTCGTGTGGTATGGTAATGGATCGTTGAAGGTGATGGGATGAGCGCAGCAGAGCGAAGCACCAAGGTGTGTGCCGTGCTGCACACCTTGGGTTTGGTATTCTGACACGCGCGTGCGGAGGTACGGAGGCACGCGGTGACGGTGGGCGGAGGGAAGCAGGCGCGCGGTTCAAGCGAGCGAGGCGGGGATGGCCAAGCAAACCTAGAGGGCTACGGTGCGTGGGCGGAGGAGTGCGGTGCGGATCAGGAGAATAGTGGCGGGAGCAGTTTTTGGGGATTGAGGGGAATGTTCGTGTGTTACCGCTAACGAAAACTGGCGACAAGCAACACGGGAAAATCGTGTGTAAAGACGAGAAACATTTACTCTTTATGAAATGGTCTGAGAAAAGGATGCACAGAAAGGTGTGAGACTTCTTCGAGCAATGCAAATGTATGAGTCATGCTAAATTTGAGACTTCTGGTGTGCAAATCGGCCCTGAACCATCGGAACCGAGCCAGACTGTTCCTGCCACGGAGGCATTGATGCGTGCCGCCGTTGGCTGATAAAAATCACGACGAACCTCTTTCAAACCAAACCTGCCGCTCGCCAGAGCCGAACCATCTCCCGCCATCAGAGGCCACCTCCAACCAACAGCTATTGTACAAATGCCCGTTTCTCCCTCCGCCCCTTCCTTATCCAGACCTATTTTCCCGTTCCACTTGTAATCTAGAAATATCCTTGCTCGTGCTGTGGACCCGTCCCACTAAGAACTCACAGACTAAACCACATAGGCCTTCATGCAGACTCTATCTTGCCGTGTCGCGCGATCGTGCAGCACATCCATTCCACGGCTGGAATCCGCTGGAGTAGGTGTGGTTGCCAGAGCACAGATCGCGTCCGTTCCAGTATTTTCCTGTCAAGCCACACACTCGTCCTTCCCCGCATTGCGATCATCGCGAATAAGTTCACCAAGTTTAAGACATGTAGGGTGCTCCCTAGCCGTTACTGCCCGTAATTCCGCTTTCTCCAATTCCCACGGCTCTCGCAATCCCATCCGAACTTCCTTCCGCGACTCGTTCCATCCCTGCGAGTCGCTATCTTCGCAGGGCCTGACGGCTCTGCTCCCCTCCTCACGCTCGCGCATCGGCCATTCTTTCCGCGTGACGAGCCCGTCGCGGCGACGAGTTAGGGTTTCCGCGTCGTGGAAGTCCGGCAAGCCCAAGGTCAAAGCCAAGGGGGGCAAGTCCAAGGGCGCCGCGGCATGGCAATCCGCCTACAGCCACGCGTCGCGGAAGGGCAAGAGCGGCGATCAAGCGCGGCGGAGACAGCGGGGCCGGCGGGGAGGCAGAGGCCCGAGCGAGGGGGATAACGATGGCGACGGCACGCTTGCGTACGGGCGTGGGGCAGGGGCGGGAGCGGAGGCGGCGGGGGTGGGTGACGTGTCGTCGTCGGCGTCGTTCGCGTTCTACCACGCGGGCTGGGCGGCATGCCGATCGCCGCGGAGCTGGTGAGCGCGCCGCTGAGCGCCAAGAGCGGCGGCGCGGAGGAGGCGCTGCAGTCGCCAGAGAATCTCGCGATCCCCGCTAAAGGCGGCCTCGAGGACGCGGAAGCGGCCGTCGCCGCCGTGGACAGGTGCGTGCTGTCGTACGTGCATTGGGTATTTGGCGACTCGAAAAGATAGGTGCTTGCTGACGTGGCTGATTTGGTAGAGGAGAGAAGCCAGAGAGGCGCTGTTTGTCGACCAGTGGCGCTCTCTTGTTGGCCGACGGCCACTGGCTGCGGAAGAAATCGCAGGAGGGGAGGGGGAGAAAAGGGCGTGGGAAGGGGGGAGGAGGGAGGAGAGAGAGGAGAGGGGACGGCTTGGGCGCAGCTGTTGTAGCGCAGATCCCGCGCCAGTAGGTCAAGTGAGAGGGTGCTGTGTAGCCCCGGGCAGCGGCGCCAGCGGCTTTCCCTCATGGCGTCGCCTTTGTGCCAATCAACTTGTGCCATTTCCCCGCCAACTTTCATCTACGTGTTCGTGTGCGGGCGTGCGTGATTGTGTGGGTGTGCATGATCGCATGGTGTTGTATGGCAGCGCGGCGGCGGCGAGCAACGCGCTGCAGCTGCTGTCGGGGGCGTGCGTGCTGCCGCATCCCGACAAGGCGCACAGAGGAGGCGAAGACGCCTTCTTCATCCTCGACGGCGCTGCTGTCGGTCAGTGCTGCCTCTCTCTCGCTCTCATTCCTTGCACTCACACCCCTTCACGCTCTTTCTCCCCTTTACGGTCCTCCCTCCCCCCCCCCCCCCCCCCCCCAACACACACCCACATGTCTCTTTCCTGTTTCCCTCTTTCTGGCCCTCCGTTGCCCATCGTTGTTCCCTCACATCCTTTCCCCCTCCTCTTCTTGAACCTATGACGCAACCCTCCTACCTCTCTTCTCTCCTCTCTCTCTCCCCTCTCTTCCCCCGCTCTCCCCCCTCTTCCCCCCCACCTCGGCTGGCTGGGAGCAGGGGTGGCGGACGGGGTGGGGGGGTGGGCGGAGATAGGGGTGGACGCGGGGCTGTACGCGCGGGAGCTGATGGCGCACATGCAGCGCGCCGTGGCGGACGAGCCCAAGGGCGGCGCGGACCCCATGCGCGTGCTGGAGAGGGCGCACAGCAGCACCGCCAGCTACGGCTCCTCCACTGCCTGCGTTGCCGTGCTGCAAGCCGATGTGAGATGCCACCGGTTGTGCTCGCGTGTGTGCGAACCTGCACCCCACCGTGTTTGTCTCTTTCTTTTCTATCCCCTCTCTCACCCCAACCCGTCCACTGCCTCTCCTCCTTGCACCAATTCTAACCCTCACTCACACCCCACTATCCACGCCTTCCCCCCTTCCCCCCCCCCCCCCCCCCTTCCCCCTTTCCCGCCCGAGCACGCGAGCAGCAGCTGCAGGCAGAGAATCAGGGCGACAGCAGGTCTATCTGTTTCTCTTACATCTTCGCACCCCTCCCTCCACCCTATCCTTGGCACTGTTCCACCCCTCACACCCCACCCTCCACCCCCCACTTCTCCATTTCCACCCCTCACCCGTGCACGCAAGCAGCAACTGCAGGCGGCGAATCTGGGCGACAGTGGGTTTCTGATCATCCGGCACGGCCACGCCATATTCAAGTCGCCCTCGCAGCAGCACGACTTCAACTTCCCTTACCAGCTCGGCAGCGAAGGGGGGGACTCGCCCCTATCCGCTGATGTGAGAACTGCTCTGTACCACTCTTTGTTTGTCTTTACAGGGCTTCAGAAATAGCTTTTTGCTGCTCAATAGGCACTGCTCACCGCGCATAGCCTCTGGTATGGGCTTCGGTTGTTTTTATAGGCTCTTCACGACTAGCCTTCTTCATAAACCCGCCCTTACACAAATAATGATGCACATTTTCACGTCACACCCATCTCTTGTCTTTTGTTCACCATCCCCACTTTCGCCCCCTGCAGGTGTACTCGCTGCCAGTGGCACCAGGAGACGTGGTGGTGATGGGCACGGACGGGCTCTTTGACAATGTCTTCGACAACGAGGTCTCCTCCCTCGTCTCCCACGCTCTCCTCCGCGGCCTCTCCCCCCAGTCCACCGCCGAGCACCTCGCAGCGCTGGCCCGCGACCGCGCTCTCGACCGCTTCCGCCTGTCGCCGTTTGCGCGCGCGGCGCAGGAGGCGGGGTATCGGTACATTGGAGGGAAGCTGGATGATATCACTGTGGTGGTGTCGTATGTGACGGAGGGCAAGTAGCGTGTGCATGCCCATGCTCATGCACCTTGGGGCTGTCACACTCGCATGTTGTGGCTGTGGCAGTGGCATGTGTGTGTGCGGAGCGAGGAGATGGGGTGGGGGTGATTGGTGGGAGGCCTGCTGGGGATGCAGGCCGTGTTGCTTGTAGGTATGTAGATATACCACGTGGCTAGTGGTTCCCCTTTTTGGGAATGTATGCGATACTGTAGATCCCTGGTAAATGCATTTACTGGCATACAGAAGAATAGTGGATTGGGTTGTATCGTATGTAACGTATGTTTCTGGCACCTGGTGCAGGCTATGCAGAGCACACTACCGCTCCAGCATACGTGGTATCACACAAGAAATGTTAGAATCTAGAGACAGGAATGGATGCATTGATCAGGAGTTGGGTACATAAGCTAACCCTAACATTGGGTTGTACCCCATATGGGCTACCCCACTAGCAGCCTACACAAACACAATATGCATAGTTTGACACACCCCCATAGGCAAAGTGAGGGAGAACAAGGGGTCACAAGACCAGTCAAGAGAAACAAAACAAGCTCAGGGTGGATCACAACGTCACCACACACACTGAGCACAAGCAAAGGGCCACAAGGCCTGTCCACATGCAGAGGTATATATGCAACAAACAAAGTACAGTGATCACTACCTAGCAAGAGCAAGCATGCAGGTATATATATATATAAAGATCACAGTACAGGCAGAGTCTACAGCAAGTGTGGAAACGTAGGCACAAGGCCCAACAAGGTACAAAAGCGCTGATGATCACCAGACGGAAGTGCCTTGGTGAATATATCAGCAGTGTTGGCCCGAGTGGCCACGTGTGCAAGACGAAGCTGACCACGCTGCTGCAACTCTCGAGCCAGGAAGTAACGCAGAGCGATGTGCTTCGTTCTATGCTCCAGTCTGTGCTCCTCACACAAGGCGATGGCGGCCTTGTTGTCAACGTACAGAACTGGAGGAGAACGAGGCCGCTCTCCCAGGTCGGTCAGCAGGTACGTGAGCCAGCGCAGCTCCTGAGCAGCCATGGCGGTGGCGTAGATCTCAGCCTCACAACTGGAGCTGAGAACAGAAGACGAGCGAGTAGAACGCCACGAAACAGAACCAGAGCCGAGGCTGAAAGTGTAACCCTGTGACGACCGCTGTGTAGCCTGGTCGTCAACCCAAGACGCGTCTGAGTGCCCAGTGAGGACCACCTCTCGCCGTCCTCCAAGCACGAGCCCCATGCCCGATGTACTGCACAAGTAGCGCAGTACCCTCTTCGCAGCATCCCAGTGCACCTTTCGGTGCCGACCAGGAGCCACGTAGCGGGCCAAAAGGCCAAGAGGGTACGCAAGGTCAGGACGAGTGCAAGTCATCAGGTACATGAGGCAGCCTACTAGCTCTGGGTAAGGACCACTCGGCTCTACGGACTCGTCCGAAGGTGGAGCTGAGAGCGAGTGACCTGTAGCCAGAGGAGTGGACTGTGCCGAGGACCAGGTGAAGCCGAAGCGCTGAAGGACCTGCTGCACCATGTGTGACTGCGTCAGTGTGATGGTGCGACGTGCTCTGTCCCGGGTGATCTGCAAGCCAAGGTAGCTGCGCAGCTCACCCAGATCTGTGCACGTGTGCCTCTTCTGCAGCTCCGACTTCACCAGGGCGAGAGCCTCAGTGTCAGCAGTGGCAAAGACCAAGTCGTCGACGTACACGAGGATGTAGAACGGCGGCAGCGAAGTGTCGGTGCGCAGAAACAGTGACGGGTCAGCTGTGGAACGCGCAAACCCGAGAGCCGCAAGCGTAGTCCTCAGTGTGTCGTGCCATTCACGAGGCGCCTGACGGAGACCGTAGACTGGCCGGCGGAGGCTCCACTGGGTACCAGGAGGGAACGACCCAGTGAAGCCAGGTGGGCGGCGCAGCCAGATCTCCTCGTGCAGGCTGCCCTGCAAGAAAGCAGTGCTGAAGTCAAGCGAGTGAAGCTCGTAGTCACGCTGGGCGGCAACGTGCAGCAGTACCCGAAGAGTGGTCATCTTCGGGGTGGGGGAGAAGGTCTGGAAGAAGTCAACCCCCTCTCGCTGACTGAAGCCTCGAGCAACGTAACGCGCCTTGAAGACAGGCGGAGAACCAGGCGGCCGCTTCACCCTGAAAATCCACATGCCACTGACGATGTTCGCCCCAGGAGGGGGAACGTCGTCGACGTAGGTGCCTGTGGACTTCCAGGATGCCATCTCTGCGTCCATGGCTGCCTGCCACTGAGAGGAGTAGGGACCCGCGACCGCCTCAGCGTACGAGCGCGGGGTGGGGATGTCTAGTGCATCCGGGTCTCCCTCAGGGGCAAGCAGCATGGTCACGAGATGAGGCGCAGCGGCTGCAAGACACTCAAGGTCCTCGTGCCTGTCCTCAAGGACGTCCGTGCTAAGAGCACACTCATCCCCGACGGACGGAGGACAGACAGACTCAGACTCAGCGACAAGACTAGCAGCGTAGTCTAGACGACAGGCAGCCGCAAAGTCAACAAGCTCAGCAACCAAAGCAGTCGCAGCAGCAGACTCAAACGAGGGGTCAGTGACAACAGTGGCGAGCAGACGCGTGACAGTAGGGTGCTCAGCACGAAACCGGTCAGACTCAGGGTCCGGAACGTGAGGCAAGGAAGACGCAGGAGGAGACGGCAGAGAAACAGACTGCGGAACAGAGGAAGGACGACGGACGACAAGGCGTGCGGTGGGGACAGGCGGCGAACGCGGACGCGGAACACGACGACCGGTACGACTAGGACGAACAGGCGAGACAGGACGCGACGCAGGCTCACGACGCTCAGCAAGACTACCCGTCCGCTCAGTGTAAGGAGAAGGAGCAGGCAGCGGTGAGCCAGGCTGTAACGGAAGACCAGTAGACGACGAGAGAGTAAGAACCTGACAAAGAACAGAGTCAGGCGGCGGCAGAGACGACGGAGACGGCAGAGCGAAGAACAGTCGTGGCGGCGCAGCTGCACCAGAACCGGCAGCTCCAGCAGCTCCAGTACCCCCAGCAGCTCCAGCACCTCCAGCAGCTCCAGAAGCTCCAGCAGCAGAACCGACACCTCCAGGCCCAGGGTCTCCAACCCCAGTGCCTCCAGCAGCAGCACCCCCAGAACCAGTACCTCCAGTCCCAGGGTCTCCAGCCTCCACGTCTCCAGCAGCAGCACCCCCAGAACCAGCACCTCCAGTCCCAGGGTCTCCAGCCTCCACGTCTCCAGCAGCAGCACCCCCAGAACCAGCACCTCCAGTCCCAGGGTCTCCAGCCTCGGTGTCTCCAGCAGCAGCACCTCCAGACGCAGCACCCCCAGCCCCAGCAGCTCCAGTACCTCCATGATCCATGCGGCTGCCCCCCATTTTCTGTGGCCGTTTGCGGTCCGGTACGCCACGCATCAGCTCAACCTCTGGCCCCGTGTCTCCTTGCCGGAGACCTCGCCCACACTGCTGTGGACGGGGAAGGTTGGCGATGCGTCGCGTTTCCGGGTCTGGGGTGCTTGTGCCTTTGTCCACGATACCACCGCGGACAAGCTCTCCGCCCGTGCAGTTCCCTGTGTCTTCCTTGGCTTTGTCCCTGACGCGCCTGGTTGGCAGTTTTACCACCCCACCTCGCGCCGTGTCTTTGCGTCTCAGGACGTCACGTTCGACGAGTCGGTTCCCTTTTACCGTCTCTTCCCCTACCGCACTGCCCCTCTCCCTCCCCCGCCGCTCTTCCTCGCTCCAGGTGCTCCCCAGGTCGACCCTCTCCCCGCTCCAGGTCCTGCTCCCTCAGGTGTGTCTCAGGTAGACCCTCCTCCCTTCCCTGCGCCGGTTGAGGTCACTGGTGACTCAGGTCCTGCTGGGGGTGGTCCTGCTCGGGGTGCTACTTCTGGGGGTGCTGAGTCTGGGGGTGCTGAGCCTGGGGGTGCGGAGCCTGGGGGTGCGGAGCTTGAGGGTGTAGAGCCTGGAGGTGCTGAGCCTGCGTGTGAGGGGTCTGGAGGTGCTGGTAGGTGGGCCCGAAAAAAAAAAACGGTCCTACGGACCTACTGCTCTGATACCATGTTAGAATCTAGAGACAGGAATGGATGCATTGATCAGGAGTTGGGTACATAAGCTAACCCTAACATTGGGTTGTACCCCATATGGGCTACCCCACTAGCAGCCTACACAAACACAATATGCATAGTTTGACAAGAAATGGTGCCGTGCTTGGAGCAGAACAACATTTCGTGAGACGATTCAATATCCGAATGGTCTTGAGTCTTGAGACAAAAGCAACCAAAGGCATAGGCTAAGGAAGAATGGTCGTTTTCATGCAATAGCCATCCCATCCCATGTACGCAACACATACGAGGAAGGGGGCGTGACAACCAAGGCAAAGGAAGCTCATGCTGTATTGCAGGTTATGGGCTGCAATTGAGGGACGTGCACTGCACTGCACCATGGCCCGGAGGGAATGAATTGCTCAAACGCTGTATACGGTACATTCAATTCAGCCATTGTTACATGGAAGTACATGGACATTGCATTCATGCACAGCACTTTGAAGGGCGTATCCTCAGCACTGCACCATGTCAAGATAGTAAGGACAGTGAGAAGCCATAGCTAGGGTTGACCTAGCTAGGCAAGCAAGAAATGAACAAAGGAGGGGTTGCACTAGTAAGAATGGGGATACAAATAGCAAACCCTAGAAGGGTTGTACTCGCTATAGAGCACCCCACTACAGGCTAGAGCATAATATTCTGACACACCCCCATAGCCAAAGTGGGGTGTAATCAGCAGAGCAAGCAAAACAGTACAAGCTCAGGGTGGATCACAATGTCACCACACATTCTGAGCACAAGTTCAAGAAGCAATAGTTTAAAGTTCACAATTATGAGCAAAGCCAGTGGTAGTCACAACGGGCAAGTGAGGAGGAGGAAAGAGACTATGAGAGGAGAGGAGGTAGTGGGCGGCAGCTGAAGCTGCTGGCACACGGCGCAACTGGAGCAACTGGCACACGGGCAACTGGAGCAACTGGCACACTGGCAACTGGAGCAACTGGCACACGGGCTACTGGAGTAACTGGCTCCGCGGCTGAAAGTAGCGGCAGACGAGCAACGGACTCACGGGCGACTGGAGCTGCTGGCTTCACGGCGGCCACCCCCTTCAACCTCCCCAAACTATCCCACTCCCCCTAACACACACCCGCTGCTACACCGCTAGCTCCACTCCCCTTTCACCCCCCCCCTTAGTACCACTCCGTCGGCTCCAACAGGTCCACCCCCCCTCAGCGGCAGCTGCAGCACAGGGAGACGGAGGAGGAGGAGGAGCAGGGAACGGCACTCAGAAGCTGCACCCCCATACCCCCCACCCCCAAACCCTAATCCAGGAGAACGGGCAGAAGGAGGGGTGGGGCGCCTTCAGAAGCACGGGGGACAGCGGGGAGGACAGGGGCAGCGAAGAACGGGCCGCCCACGGGCCTGGCACAGCCTCCCGAACCGCGCGCAGGCGGTCCGAGCCGCGCGCGGGCCTGGCGCAGCCCGTACGGGCCGCGCGCAGGCCACGACGGGCGACGGGGGGCGACGCGCGGGTCCCCGTCGCCCGTCGCAGCGCCTCCCGGGGGCGACGCGCCGAGTGACGGGGCAGAAACCCGCCGCGCGCCTCGGGGCGCACGGCGGGCAGAGAACCGCCGCGCGCCTCGGGGCGCACGGCGGGCTGAAAACCCTAATTTCAACGCCGCGTACCACGAGGCGCGCGGCGGACAGGGAGTAGCAGTAGCAGCGGAAGCAGTGAAGTGGTGGGCCCACAGGACAGGAGCGTAACCGCTCTGATACCATGTCAAGATAGTAAGGACAGTGAGAAGCCATAGCTAGGGTTGACCTAGCTAGGCAAGCAAGAAATGAACAAAGGAGGGGTTGCACTAGTAAGAATGGGGATACAAATAGCAAACCCTAGAAGGGTTGTACTCGCTATAGAGCACCCCACTACAGGCTAGAGCATAATATTCTGACAAATACACCATAGTACAGACTTCCACCAGACTGAACCATGCGGGCAACTATTTGCAATGCACAGCACCGTTTCGGCACGGAGCAAGCCTGTACTGAAGTGCAGGGACACACCACATCATTATTGTACAGTATATATACCGTAGTCATGTTGGAAAGAAAACTGTACCCAATCCAACCTCTCAGCCTGTGTACACAGCCGCCTGTGGCCCTCTTGACCAGATTGCCCTTCCCAGCAGCTGAACGCAATGCTGCACTCAGTTTCGCCTCGAACCCCTTGCGCCCTCAAGCTTCCTCTACCCCCCCCTCCCACCCCCCCTCTACCCTCACAGACTGCTGCTCTCCTTGCCCCACTCCCCCTTCACGTCCATCCCCAATCCCTCCTTCCCCCAAACCCTCCCCCCTGCCCCTGCGCCCTCCCCCCACAAGGCGGCCCCCATGGCCCCCCTGGGGCTGCCGAAGTGAGCGAGGACACGGCCGAGGGGGGAGAGCATTCCAGGGGAGAGCAGGCGGGGGGACATGGTGCGGGGGGAGGCGGTGCGGGGGAGAGGGGAGAGGTTGGGGCCGCGGGAGGAGGGGGAGATGGTGCAGGAGCGGGGGGAGCGGTAGGGGGAGAAGGCGGAGAGGGGCTGGTTGGTGCGCAGGGAGGGGCGGGGAGGGGCTTTAATGGTGAGGCCCTTGAGGTGTGACGCGCGCCCCTTCACCCCCGCACACATGGCCCTCGCCCTGCTGCCTCCGCGGGGGGACATGCTGTGGGAGGCTGTCGGCGCGCTGCTGCTTGGACCACCGAGTGCCGATGCCCTTGCTGGCCGTGCTGCTGCTGCAGGCGGTCCCTTTTCCTCCCCACTCTCACTCTCACTCGCCCCCTTGCTGCCCTCCACCACGCCTCCCACGCCCTCTTCCCCCCGTTCTGCACTCCGCCTGCCCCTCTCCCCCAGCCGGGACGGCTGCCTCTGCCCCCCAGAGAACAGCGCCCGCCGCCCTCTGCCCTCGCCCCTCTCCGCCCTGCCCTCCTGGCGAGTGTGGGGCCCGGAGGGGGTGGAGGAGTTAGAGGCCTGGCAGGGGGAGTCCTGGGCTGGGGAGCAAAAGGAGGAGGCATGCAGGGGCAGGGAGTAGGGGGAGGCTTTATCCGGAGGCGAGGCGTAAGCAGGGAAGGTCTTATCTGGGGAAGCATCAATGAAAGTTGCTGCATCAGCAGCACCATGCGGGTCGCCCGCCCTCCCTCCCTCTCCCACCACCGCCCCACTGTCGTTGTTCCTCTCCCCAGTGTCGTCCTCCCTTGCACCTTCTATCCACCCCTCCTCCTCTCCACCTCCCTCCCCTTCCTTCCCTTCTCCTCCGCCCCCGTGCGCCCCGCCCCCCAGCAGGGGAGAGCAGGCGCACTGCTCCAGGGCGGCCTGGGTGCCGGGGGAGTCAGGCAGGCCAAAGGAGGCTGCGAGGGGCAGGGCAGGCGGGGGGGGAAAGGGCGGAGGTAGGGGGAAGGGCGGGGGCAGGGGGAAGGAGAGAGGGGCCGCCGCACACATCTCTTCTGCTGCAAATCCCCCCCCGGATGCACCCACCGGGCCTGAACCCCCCCCCGCCCCTGCACCGGCGACAGCAGCAGCGGCAGCAGTAGCAGCAGCAGCAGCAGCGGCGGCGGCAGCGGCGAGAGTGACGGCAGCAGGGGTGATGGTGGCGGCGGCAGCGGGGGGGAAGAGCTTGAAGGGGTCGAGCAGCGGCATGGCGGGCAGGCCAGGGCCGGGCGAGAGCGAGAAGGGGCTCATGAGTGGCCCGAATAGTGGGTCCGCTGCAGTGGCCGCGATGGGGGACGGGTGGGGGGAACGAGGGAGCAGAAGGCACGATGAGGGAAGGAAGGAGAGATGAAGAGCATGGGTTTTGATGAAGGAAGAAGCACATGAGGTGGCGTAACAGAGAGGAAAGCTGGAGGGATGGCAGTACAGGGGAGAGAGAGGAGGAGGCGTGGTGGGGAGAGAGAGGAAGGAGGCGTGGTGGGGAGAGAGAGGAAGGAGGCGTGGTGGGGAGAGAGAGGAAGGAGGCGTGGTGGGGAGAGAGAGGAAGGAGGCGTGGTGGGGAGAGAGAGGAAGGAGGCGTGGTGGGGTGGGGGAGTGGAAAAGACTTACCTAAGGGGGAGTTGAAGGGAGACAAGCTGCCTTGAAACGCCTCCTCCGACAGAAATGCCGACAGCTGCTGCTGCTGCTGCTGGAGCTGGTGGTGGTGGTGGCAGTGGGTGGGGTGGAACGGTTGCTGATGGCGGTGGTGGTGGGGGTGCAGGGAGGTGTTGATGTGGGCGAGAGGGAGAGACGGCACTTGCAGGTCTACTGCATACCCATCACCACACCCCTTCACGGCCTGCTTGCCTTCCCCACCCGCATGCCCATGGCCAAGTCCATCCGCATACACATGCACATGGTGCTGCCCCTCTGGCATCCCCTCCTCCTCCTCCCCGTCCGTTTCCATCTTTACTGCGTGCTGCAGTGGCTGCTGCCACGTGCACTGCTCTGATTGGACGAGGAACTCGGCGGCTTGCTCTGGGATCTGCTGCAGGGGCACGTGGCGGTACAGCAGCGCTGATTGGTCGGCGGATTGGCTGGTGAACTGGCCGGTAGGTACCTGCTGAGATGGTGAGACGAGCCGGCAGGCAGGGAAGGAGAAAGGGAAGAGAGGGAAGAGAGCGATAGAGAGGGAAAGGGAAAGGAGGAAGAAAGGGGCGGATAAGCTAATACAGGGATGCGATGGAAGCGCAGAGAGGCGGCAGCACGCATATGCCCAAGCCAATATGCACCTCTGCCAAGCACCACCTACCGTTGCACTCGCTTCCCCATATGTTGCTGCTGCCTCCTCCCCTCTCTCCCCCACCCCACATCCAGGCCCCGGCATGCTTGGGGCTGCATAGGCGTCAGCAGGAGGGCGGCTGTAGCAGGCGCTGTAGCTCTGGCTGTAGCTCAAAGTCTTGGGCGGCAGAGCGTGGTGGGGCGTGGAGAGGAGCCGGGAGGAGGAGGAGGGGAAGACGAGTGGCGTGGTGAGGTAGTGGGAGAAGGAACCAGGGGGGTGCGCTGGTGGGTCACAGGCAGACGCAGACGCAGGGAGAGGAGGGGCGGGAGGAGGAGGAGGAGCAGGAGCATAGAGAGGAGAAGGGGCAGGAGGCGCAGGAGGGGCGAGCGTGGGAGCAGGGCGAGCATCTGTAGTGCCAGTGCTCCACGTGGCCCCCTGACTCATCATCTGCTCGCTGCTGACGTGGCAGCCACTGCTGCCTGCCATGGACGAGTCCAGGGAGGGCGATGGGGCAGGAGCGGGTGCAGCTGGGGCGGGCGCAACTGGGGCAGGCGATGGGGCAGGGGAGGGCGCAGCTGAGGGGGGCCGGGGTGCGATGGAGGGGGAGGAGCCGGGTGGCAGGGAGGGGGAGGGTCGTTCAGCAATGGCGGGTGAGCCGTGTGCTGACATGGCACTCGTTGACCCCACAGTGCCAGTTGGCGATGGTGCTGACGTGGAAAACGCTCGTGGTGATGGTGACGGCATGGCCGCTGCTGCTGCTGCCGCCCGGGGGGAGGGGGAGTGCGCCACTCCCCCTGTGGGGGAAGGGATGGGGAGAGAGGGCGTGTGGGGAAGCGAGCGGGGCTTGTGGGGGCCTTGGGGGGAGGGGAGGAGGGAGGAGGGCGAGGGGCAGAGCAGGGGCGCGGAGGGAGAGGGGCACATGCGCCACGAGGGCAGGTCGTGCGCCACGTCAGCGGGCGGCGATGTGATGAACTCTTGGCTGGCCTTGCCCCTCCAGCGGCGCGGTGCAGGCGAGAGGGAGGAGGCCGGCGGGAAGAGGAGCGGCCTGGATTAGGGACGGGGGGAGGAGGGGGAAGAGGGATAGGGAAGGGGGTAAAGGGGAGAAGAAAAAGAATGAGTGGGCAGTAAAGATGGGGAAAGCAGAGGCGCTCAGATGCAGCGTGAAAGAGCAGTGGCGAATGGCGGAAAGCGGTGGAGAGCGAGTGGAAAAGAGATGGGAGGGCGGGCCGTGGGGCAGACAGGAGTGTTACCCAGCGGGGACGTGCACGGGGGCGAGGAAGGCGAGCTTGGACGGCAGCTGCAGCCCGTTGGACGCCAGGTGCAGCCCATGGGCGCTGTGGTTACCGTGAGTTCCCTGTCCCCCCTGCCCCGCACTGCCGTGGCTCGCACTGCTGCTGCTCGCATTGCCATTGCCCCCGCCTCTGCCGGAAGGGGTGGCGCTGGAGCTGGCGTTGCGGGACCGCTTGCGAGAGATGCTGGCGGGACACAGGGCAGGGGAGTGGGGACAAGAAGGGGAGGAATTGTAATGAGGCGCGTGTTTGGGATGATTGGCTTGACTGGAAACATGTGCGTGTGATTGCTTGATGCCTGTGCTGCCAGGTGGCTGGAACAGCTGCAGGAAACACAGGCAGAAGCAAGAAGCAGCAGCAGCAACAGCAGCAAAGGGGCACCTGCGGATGGCTCGTGAGTAGCCAGGGGCAACGAGCAGCGGCGAGCCGTCGGCGTTGAGGGGGGTGGGCGCGTTGAGGGGCGTGGCGGCTGTGAAGCACACGGCGAAGAGGCGGTTGTCACACTTGGATGACAGCACCGACAGCGCCAGCTTGAACGTGGCGCGGCCTGTAGCGGACACAACACAAGAGGCAGTGGAGGAATGGGGGAAAGAGAGGACAGCCGTAAGGGCAGCTCTAGGGCTAGGGGAAAAGGGTCCAGTGAAACGACAGGGTTAAAGACAAGGGGAAGTTCTCCCTGCAGGTGCGGGGTTTCTGTGCAAACATGTGTGCGGGGCGGAGGTCTACCTGCGAGCATTTGTGAGGGGCGGAGGTGGGCTGGGAACTCGACGCCATTGAAAGTGGTGAAGAGCGGTGGCTCCACCATCGCCTGCCCCTCCTCCAGCTTCACCGCACTGCTCACACGGGGGGTGGGGTGGGGAGAAGGAAAAGGGGGAGGGGTGAATGTGGGACCGGGGAGTTGACAGAGACGGGATAAGGGAAGATGGAGGACGGAGAGAGGCGTGGAGGCAGACGAAAGAGCACAAGGCAGAGCAGGTGCATACATACATGATTGTATGTGAGTGCGTGAGAGGGTATGAGGGTGAGAACGGGTTGATGAAAGGAAGAGAGTGAGAGGAGAGAGTGCGGGGGGTGGAGGAGAGAGCGGAGGGCGGGAGGGAGTACCTGCAGTCGTGCGAATAGGTGAGCGAGGCCGTAACAGCAAGGTCCTTGCTCACCGGGTTACCCTGCACGCACCACCACAGGCATGGGGCACGGGGCACGGAGGAGGGAGAGGTGAGACAAGTGGAGGAGGGTGGGGGGAAACGGCTGAGAGTGTGGGACGGGTATGGCGACCCCCTTCCCCTCAGATGCTTCCAGCCCGCGTTCTGCCTCACGCGACTCTCTGTGTGGGAGTAGACCGCGACGCGGCACGTACCTGGTCGTCCGTGAGTTGCACGTGCAGGACGAACTTCCGCCGGCACGATGCCTTGCCGCCCAGCACCGACATCACCTGCACCAACCGCGCGAACCAACGTCACGCCACGTCAGACGCAACAACCAACGCGCCGACAGTGCATGAATTTCGAGAATGAACGACGTGAGGGCGAACAGAAAGGAGCGCAGCGTCGCGAGGGCTGGCGAGGTGAGCGCGCCGAGCCGGCGAGCGACGTACCTCGGGCGAGCCGGGGCTGGCGTGGCCGTCCTTGCTGGGGCTGCTCACGACCAGCCGATGCGTGCACACCGCCGTGGAAGGCGGTGCGGGTTTCGCGTCATCCATAGCCGCGTGCTCCATGGCGTCCGGCGCCACGCGCGCACCGCTCGTCGCGATAAATTCTTGAACAAATTCACAAATGTCGTGCGGACGGGAACCGCTCCTCACAACATGCTCGCAGGAGAGCAAGCGGCACGGCTGGTGACGTGTGCTGCCGCTACCCACGCAGCGAGACGTGCGGCAATGAGCAGAAAGCGTCGAGCACGGAAAGAGGATGCTTGGGAACCGAAAGGCGAGTCTAAGGTCTGCGAGGAGGTCGCGAGGAGGACGACGAGGCGAGGTGGTGCGATGGCAGGAAGCCGACGACGTTCAGCTGAAGTAATGCGTTCTAGAAATCAGCGGAATGCGCTTTAGAGCAGGCGAGCATGCCGATATTGCACCAAAGCGACGAAGCCTTACAAGCTTCTGGGGGAGTGGGAGAAACGCGACGACGACGAGGAGGATGCCGAAGGACGCTAGCTGGCTGTGTCGAGATGCGACACGGGGAGTGCCGAGACCAAACTGATTACAGGAAAAGGGAGACCGACGCAGTGAGACACGTGGCGAATTCCAGCCACAAAGGGCGCCACAGGATAGTTTGGCGACATCTTCCGTTATTCGCGCGTTGAACGACCGCCAGGTCTTGCTTGCAGAGATGGTACGGAGGTTGCGGAGAAAGGCGCTTCGGAAAAAAAAGGATTTGATGTTGTAAGAGCGTACGACAATTGAGTGCAACGGCTAGTTTGTGGACGCGAGGATCAAGACTGGAGAATACAGGAGAGCAGCCATTGCCTTGCCGTGCTGTGCCGACGAAGTGTCGGAGATGAGAGGACAAGCCAATAGCGGAGCGAGTCAAGCTGCGAAAGTGAAGCGAGTGGATGAGAAAAAGTGCACAAAAAGGTAATGCACCGCGACTCGTTTTGGAGACGGGGGGCCCTTCAGAGCCACATAATGTGTGTGTGGCTGGAAGCGATTAGAAACCTCTTTACGTCCACGTGGCATTGAATGTGAGGGTGCACGAAAAACCTCATCTTCTCGAGGTTTGCAAAAACATCTGGGCAGTGGGCTGGGGAAACTATCTAGGCTAGGGTGCTGGGGAAACCGCCTTGGGTGCCCCAAATATCCCTCCTCGAACTATCAATTTCGCAACCGCTGGATGAGAAAAATCGGAAATATCGAAAACAAAAGCAACAAAAAGTTCACATCGAGATACGCTGCCTTGTATATCGAGTACCGCAACTCTGGCTGGTGGCAACCAATAAAGCATGTAGACGGTTTTCTCCTTGCTGTGGCAACATGCGGTTGCGCTCGCTTCATTAGCACTTCGGGACTGGCTCGGATCGCGTCTCTCACGCCTTCGCTCCTACCCTCCTCGCCACGATCAGGCTCTCTGCTTGCCTGGGCTTGCCTTCCCGCCGACCCTTCTGAAACGGTCTTGTTTTTTCGGCTTGTGGCGGCAGTTAGCAGCCGACAGCGGGAGGCAGGAGAGACGACGTACGAGGCAGCACGTACAGCCACGCTGCGCACGCAGCACGCGCGCGCAGTTAGGAATTGCCGCACGCCGTTGGATTCCCCACAAGCACCGGCGCCACCTGCCGCCATCTCTTGCTGCTGCTAGAGGGGTTCGCTCGCCTGCTCAGCAGGCTGCTGTAACCGCTTTACGGAGTTAGACTTAGCGGCAGTGAGACGAGGGGTGCTGAGACGACGCTGCTAGCTGTAACCCACGTACCGAGCGATACGCGCTACTGGGTTGTTTCGCGAAGTCCCCCCCACCTGGATTCGGTTCCGCCGTCCGCCCATCCATGTCTCTCTGCGTCTCTCTCGCTCCATCCGCGACACCGTTGTCTCGCATCTCTCGCTTGCCACTTCGCCAATCTTCGCCACGATGGCGTCGACAGCTTGACTGGTAACAGCCGAGGGCGCTATCTCGCGACAAGCCACCCTCGTGCGTTATCCAGTACGCCGCATGCCCGCTGACGGATTTATCACCTTAGGTGCCACGTGGAATCCCGAAGCCCGCACGCGTTGAATCTCCCTCTTCCTTACCCTCCCGCCCCCCTGTCCCCATTCCTCTGCGCGTTCCTCCCTCCGCCAGCGGGCGGAACGCAACTCTTCAGCCATCCGCATGGTTCCGCCAGTCCCCGCACGGGTCGCCGTTGCAGGAGCTTCGGGGGCATGGCAGGGGGGAGGGGGGAGGGGGCGGGGCGCGGACTTGGGGGATGAGGATCGCGGAGGGTGAGAGGGGGGGAGTGGCGCGGGCGAGCAGTGGTGGAGGGGAAGAGAAGGGCACAGATGGGCTGGCGGAAAAGGGGGAGCGAATGAGCACCACCCAGGTCCGCTGAGGGCTGTTGGCTAGGGCGCATGGCATTCATTCATGGTGTATGGTGTATGGTGTATGTTGTCTGCTACACTCTCTCCATCTCTGCTTCCCGCTTTCTCTCCCCTGTTTCCCCACATTCAGCCTCCCTCCTACCCTCTCCACCTCCCTCCTCCTCTTTCCCTGGATTCCCGCTCTCTCCCCCCGCCCCACCGCCCTCCCCTCTCGCGCAGCGCATAATGGCGGCGCTGCCAGCGGGGGAGCAGGCGGGGGGGCGGGCGGGCAGGTGACATATGCCGACCTGCAGAGGGCGGACGCAGCGTGGCTCGCCCTGCGCTCCGCCCCGCCTGGTGGGTGTCCACCCTGCTTGTTGGATCGATTCGTTATCATCAATGGATCTGTTTTCCCCATGCGACATGCGTTTTGCGGTATGCGCTATGCACCATGCACCATGCGCCATGCGCTATGCACCATGCGATATGCGCTATGCACCATGCGATATGCGCTATGCACCATGCGATATGCGCTATGCACCATGCTCCATGCGCCATGCGCCATGCGTCATGCTCCATGCGCCATGCGCTATGCGCCATGCCTCCTCTGGTCGGCTCAGCACCATCCCTCCCGTACCTCTCTCCCATCGCTTCATACCAGGTCCACCCACCACTGCCGCGCCCCAAGTGGTCGTGCGCAAGTCCGGCAGGAGCAGCAGCGCCAGTGAGGGGGGCGGGGCGGGGGGGGCAGGCTCGGAGGTGGAGGTGGTGGTGTGTGGGGGCACGCTGGGCGTGTTCGTGGCCGTCAGCCTGGCGCTGAGAGGCCACCGCGTGGCCATTGTGGAGCGCGGCGCTCTGCGTGGGGTACGTGGGTGGGGCGAGGCCAGGGAGACGGCTGGGTGGAGGGTGGATGGGTGGATGTAATTGGTGGAGGCTGTCGGGAGGACCACGGGAGAGAGGGCACAAGTGTTGGCCTGAGGGCATTGCATGGAATGGAACTACTCACCATGCATCACCACACTTCCATCGTCCTGTCTGTACCCCCAGGCCCCTGCCCTGCACTCATCCCACTCTGTGCGCCCCCATGTGCGCCCCCATGTGCGCCCCCATGTGCGCCCCCATGTGCGCCCCCATGTGCGCCCCCATGTGTGCCCCCATGTGTGCCCCCATGTGCGCCCCCATGTGCGCCCCCATGTGCGCCCCCATGTGCGCCCCCATGTGTGCCCCATGTGCGCCCCCATGTGAGCCCCCATGTGTGCCCCCATGTGAGCCCCCATGTGCGCCCCCATGTGCGCCCCCATGTGCGCCCCCATGTGCGCCCCCATGTGCGCCCCCATGTGCGCCCCCATGTGTGCCCCCATGTGTGCCCCCATGTGCGCCCCCATGTGCGCCCCCATGTGCGCCCCCATGTGCGCCCCCATGTGTGCCCCATGTGCGCCCCCATGTGAGCCCCCATGTGTGCCCCCATGTGAGCCCCCATGTGCGCCCCCATGTGCGCCCCCATGTGCGCCCCCATGTGCGCCCCCATGTGCGCCCCCATGTGCGCCCCCATGTGCGCCCCCATGTGCGCCCCCATGTGCGCCCCCATGTGTGCCCCCATGTGTGCCCCCATGTGCGCCCCCATGTGCGCCCCCATGTGCGCCCCCATGTGCGCCCCCATGTGTGCCCCATGTGCGCCCCCATGTGAGCCCCCATGTGTGCCCCCATGTGAGCCCCCATGTGCGCCCCCATGTGCGCCCCCATGTGCGCCCCCATGTGCGCCCCCATGTGCGCCCCCATGTGCGCCCCCATGTGCGCCCCCATGTGCGCCCCCATGTGTGCCCCCATGTGTGCCCCCATGTGTGCCCCCATGTGTGCCCCCATGTGTGCCCCCATGTGTGCCCCCTGTGAGCCCCCACAGCGCGCGCAGGAGTGGAACGTGTCACGCAGGGAGGTGCAGGAGCTGGTGGCGATGGGGGTGCTCACAGCAGACGAGGTGGACGACGCCATCGCTGTCACCTTCAACCCTGTGAGTGCGCTGCTCTGCTCACCGTCTTTGGTAGCATCTATTAAGGCTGTGCTTCATAAGCAGTTCTCCGCACCCCATGTGTGCCTGCCTCACTGCCTTCTGCTGTGCACCGCCCTTGCCCCTCACTGCCCTTGCCCCTCACTGCCCTTGCCCCTCACCGCCCTTGGGGCTACACTGACAAAAAGTATTTTCTTATTCCATTCCATGTGCGCCTGCCTCACTGCCTCCCCCTCTGCACCGCCCCTCGTGTCCCTCACCGTGCTGCGTGGCAGTGTCGCTGTGGCTTTGCAGGAGGGGAGGACATGTGGGTGAGGGACATCCTCAACCTCGGCATCTCGTCAGTACCCTCCCTCCCTGCTGCCATGCCATGTCAGACCGTGCTGTTCTATGTGCCATGCCATGCCATGCCGTGCCATGCCGTGCTTTCATGTCATGCCAGTAGTCAGCAGGCTTCATGCTAACGTTTATCACAGCCTTTTCAAGCTCGAGCCTCAGCAGATTTGCTGCCCCAAAGCCTCTTGAACTGCGTCTTGCACTGCCTCTTGCACTGCCTCTTGCTCTGCCTCTTGAACTGCGTCTTTACTTTGAATCCACAGTCCCGCTGCCAGCCAACGTAACGAACCTCCACCAGAAGCACCTGCACGCATCAGAACCCCATCAGTCCACACCTCCTCTGCTACCTCCTGCCTCCTGCCTTACTCACCAACTACCCCCCCCCCCCTCCCCCCCCCCCCGATCTCCTGCTCCCCACCCTTTTCACCCTCCCTGCGCGCCTGTCTCTCTGCTCCATGGTGGCCTGGGCAGCCCAGCCAGGCTGATAGAGGCGGCGAAGCAGCGCTTCCTCGCGCTGGGGGGGATATTGCTGGAGGGCGTGGCGCTCGCCTCCGTGCACGTCTATGATGACGCTGCTGTGCGTGCCTCACCCCTCCCTGCCTATGCTTGTACAGCATAGGCACACATGCCCAAAGCGCTCCTGTTTGTTGTGGCCATAATTGGTGCGTCCATAATTCCACAGCATCAGCACAGCACAGCACTCTGTTCGTTCTCACTCTTTGCTTCAGTGCCGTCATCACAACTCACCAACGCCCTTTCACCGATCGTTCCCAAGCCCGCCCCACTGACTGCCTCCCCAGGTGCTCCGCTTTGCGGACCCATCGGTGCCGCCCCTGAAAGCGCGGCTGGTGGTGGACGCCATGGGGCATGCCTCGCCCATCGTGCGCCAGGTGGGTGGGTGGGTGCTCTTGACGCACTTGGTGGTTAGAAATGTCATGCGGGTGGCTCCTTCAATATGTCCTCTGCCCTCTGCCCTGTGCCATATGCTCTGTGTGCGCAAGGCAGGCACGGTGGGGGCAGAAGCCGGATGGTGTGTGTCTGGTGGTGGGCACGTGTGCGCGTGGCTTCCCCCCAGAGACCAACACTGTGGGGGACATCATCTTCACCACCTCGCCCACCATCTCCCTCGCCCAATCGCCGCTGCAGCTCTTCTGGGAGGTGCGCTCATGTGTGTCACTTATGAATCGACTTGACCTGCGGTGAGGCCTAGAGGCTGACTGTTGCAACTGCTGTCAGGCTTAGAACATGGCATCCTCTACAAACGTTTTGCTCTTGGGTTGCACATGAGCATTGAGCCGTGGTGGGGTGAGGACTGACAATAGGAGTGCCATCTTCCACCACTTGGTGGTTTCTGGGTACGCATGTCTGCACATCTCACGACACCATCAATTCCTCGCAACTTAAATGTCCCAGTGAATTTCTGAAAAATACCACTTTCGCATTTTCAAGGCCATGTATGCCTCTCCCTGCATGCCCTTCCCCCACCTCACCTCCTCTTCTCGGCATTCCCATCAGGGTCGGATCCAGTGACCGCACAACATACATGTTCTCCTACATGGCCCCATCCGTCCACACACTTCCCACCGTGTGTGCCACCTCCCTTCTCCCTCACTGCCAGGCGTTCCCATCAGGGTCGGGCCCCAGTGACCGCACGACGTACATGTTCTCCTACATGGACGCGCAGCCTGAGCGCCCGTCACTGGAGGCCATGCTCGACCTCTACTGGCGGCTCATGCCGCCCTACCAGGTGCGCTGCTGTGCTGTGCTGTGCTGGTAAACCATGTGTGGCACGGCAATGAACTGCGTGTGTGGCAGGGCGTTGACTCCATTGACTGCATGTGTGGCATGGCGTTGACTCCATTGACTGCATGTGTGACATGGCGTTGACTCCATTGACTTTGTGGGTGGCAGGGCATTGACTCCATTGACTCAGTGGAGGTGCAGCGAGTGCTCTTCGGTTTCTTCCCCACCTTCCGTGACAGCCCTCTCCGCCCCGCCTTTGACCGTGTCATCCAGGTGCCCTCCTCTCCTCTCACCTCTCCTCACCTCGCCTCACCTCATCTTGCAATCTGATACCCTTTTGGGTATTCCTAAAACCGTCACCTCAGCTCTCTCGTAGAAGTTAATTTCTGAAATGATTAGTTTGTTTTTGAAGTAATTCGCAGAAGAATGTTGTACGGCATACTTGCGCTGCTCTCCTGCGTGGTTCTCTGTGTGCTGTACGCTGTGCCATGCGAGCATGCATGCAGGTGGGCGACGCCAGTGGCATCCAGTCGCCGCTCTCCTTCGGTGGCTTTGGTGCCATCACTCGCCACCTCGGCCGCATCACTGATGGTCAGATTCCGCGCTGCTGCTCACTCCTCGTTCCCTGCTCTGCCGTCTCATGCCATCACATGCCATCATGTTGCATCACCACTTCTTATTGCAAGTCCCAGTACTCATTTGGTGTTGTTTTCACAGTTCTCATGCTCTGCCTCTCCTTCCTCTCCCTCCTGCCGGAGGCTAACCCCTCCTCGCCTGCCTGGCTGCAGGCCTGGTGGAAGCTTTGAATGCGGATCTGCTCACACGAGATGCACTTGCAAGCATCAACCCATACCAGGTGCATCAAACCATACCAGGTGCATCAAACCATACCAGGTGCATCAACCCGTACCAGGCGCATCAAACCCGTACCAGGTGCATCAACCCATACCAGGTGCATCAACCCGTACCAGGTGCATCAACCCATACCAGGTGCATCAACCCGTACCAGGTGCATCAACCCGTACCAGGTGCATCAACCCGTACCAGGTGCATCAAACCATTCCAGGTGCATCAACCCGTACCAGGTGCATCAACCCATACCAGGTGCATCAAACCATTCCAGGTGCATCAAACCATTCCAGGTGCATCAACCCGTACCAGGTGCATCAAACCATTCCAGGTGCATCAACCCGTACCAGGTGCATCAACCCGTACCAGGTGCATCAACCCATACCAGGTGCATCAACCCGTACCAGGTGCATCAACTCGTACCAGGTGCATCAACCCGTACCAGGTGCGTCAACCCGTACCAGGTGCATCAACCCGTACCAGGTGCATCAACCCGCACCAGGTGCATCAACACGTACCAGGTGCATCAACCCGTACCAGGTGCATCAACCCGTACCAGGTGCATCAACCCGTACCAGGTGCATCAACCCGTACCAGGTGCATGCACCTCTTAACAGTAACCCTACATCACAAAACTGGCAATACAAACCCCACTACGTTCAATTTGACACACATCGCTCCCATACCCCTCGCTTCCCTCTTCTCTCCCTCCCCCTTCCAGCCCCTTGCGCCCTAAATCCGGAACAGCACGGCGTGTGACGCGCCTCAAAAGACTTCTCTTCGCTCGTCCCCTTTCCCCGCCCCGTGCAGCCGAACCTGAGTGGGGCGTGGCTGCTGCAGCGCGCCATGTCAGCGCGGGTGGGGTCGACCCCTCCGCCTGACTTCATCAACACCCTCCTCGCCACCAACTTCGCCTGCATGCAGGTCAGGTCATGCACGTGTCATGTGATGTCATGTGCTGCTGGCTCTGTTGCTGCTGCTCATGCTGCCATGCCTGTAATGTTATCGCATCACTTTCCTAGTTCTGCTTCCCCCGCTCTTCCCATCTCTTCCATGCATCCCATCCACTTCCACTGTTTTCCCCTCCATCCTCCCCACCCTTCTCCCCTCTCTCCTCTCCTCCGCCTCTCCCGTGTCTCTCATCCGTCTCTCCCCCACCCCTGCCGCCATCAGAAGCTGGGCGACCCTGTCGTGCGCCCCTTCCTGCAGGTAAGACCGCCACTCCCTGCACTTGACTCCGCTGCCATGCTGTGCAGCAGCGTTACGCACATCACCATGTCTCACGGCAACTGCCACACATCAGAGCACATCTCAAGAATCACCTGCCAATTGCCTCGTCCATGCCTCTTCTTTTCCTTCCCACCTCTCACTTGCCTTCCCCCTTCCTTCCTCCCTGCCCTGCCCCGCCCACCCTCCCTACATGCACTGACCAGGACGTGACACAGTTCGCCCCACTGGCCCTCACCATGGGCTCCATGGTTGTCACGCGCCCCTCGCTGCTGCCCACCATCTTCCTGCAGGTACCTTTCAACTCCTGCTTTCAGCCTCACAGTTTCAGCTTACAGCTGAAGTCTTCAAGCATTGTGCTGCAGGCGAGGCTTAGGAAATTCGTATTTGCCTGTGCCTCACGTTGTGCGCGCGCACCACACCACACCACACCACACCACACCACACCACACCACACCACACCACACCACACCACACCACACCACACCACACCACACCACACCACACCACACCACACCACACCACACCACACCATACCACACCACACTACGCCATGCCATGTGCTCTCGTTCTGTGCCGCCACAAGCGCTGCCATCTCCCTTGACATACGCGCCATGCCTCATCGTCCTCTCGCCCACGCACCCACTCCCACGTGCCATCCACCCATGTGTCTCTCCCCCCCCTCACCAGGTGGGCCCCATCCCCCTACTGGACTGGCTGCAGCACTTCATCGCCCTCGCTGCCTTCTCTGCTCTGCACCACCTCGCCTCCGCCCTCTCCCTCAGGTGCTTCTCTCCCTCAGGTGCTTCTCTCCCTCAGGTGCTTCTCTCCCTCAGGTGCTTCTCTCCCTCAGGCGCTTCTCTCCCTCAGGTGCCCTCGGGTGCTTCTCTCCCTCAGGTGCCTCTCTCCCTCAGGTACTTCGCTCCCTCAGGTGCCCTCAGGTGCTTCTCTCCCTTAAGTGCCCCTTGGAAAACTTCAGATGTTCTCTCCTCAGGTGTTTCTCTCCCTCTGTTGCCCCATGCTAATACCTCCTCATCCTCCCCTCCCCCCCATTCCATCCCCCTGCTGCCAATCCCCTCCACCCCTCCCATGTGCAGCGATGCCGTGGCCTCTCTGCCGCCCCGCCAGCGCTTCTTCTGGCGGCGCCGCCTGGAGGCCTGGCAGTTTGGGTCGGGCCTCGACTACCACCTCTAGCTCTGCGTTTCGGTCAATAAACCAGCTGTACAATATGGCGTTATTTAGCAAATGTCTATACAATATTTATTACATCTTGAAGAACTAAAGACACCACTGGCTCAATGAGAATGATGTGGAAGGAGCATAAATGATTCATGCATGAGGAAAAAGCGTACATGACATGCAATAAAGCGCGCACCAAAGCCAGGGTACAGGCTGAGGGGGTGGGCTGCAAGTTAGATCAATGCGGGTGGCAGGGGGGTGAGTGGTGGGCGGACGATGTCTTCCTGGTGTGCGAAGGAGGGGTTGAGGAAGGAGAGCTGCCCCTCCCTGAGCATTATGGGGCCCCACGGGGTGTGCGTCACACACTCAGGCCTCGGCACCAGGGCGCGAGCAGATCTGCTGTCGGGCTGCTGGGAGGAGGAGCTGCGGTTGAGGTCGTGGGAGGAGGAGGAGGGGGGTGGGCGCATGAAGGCGCGGGTGGGGTGCAGGCAGGCGGGGGCGTTGGGGGGAGGGAGGTCGATGGCCTTGAGCCAGCCCTTGAGACGGAAGAGCGCCTCCAGCTTGCCGTGCACGTCCCCGCCATGCGTTGTTATCTGCACCCGCCTCACCACCCGCTGCACTGCAGGGAGGAAAAGGGGGCAGCATGGTGAAGAGAAGAGCAGGCGGGTGGGCAGAGTGAGGAAGAGCGAGGGTTATCCCTGTTAAGATTGGCCATTTGCATCCTTCCCATTCCACTCCACGCCAGCACGGCTGCCGGAGCGAAACACAGGCTGGAGGCAGGGCCGGCGCGACGGCAGGCAGTACCATGCAAGTAGAAGGAAAGGCCAGAGCCATTCACAAGACACAGGTCGCTTGCACATCATGGCGTGCGTGCACGCCTTAGCATGGAAGCGCAGTCTGAACAGTGGCATGACAGACATAACTTGGGAGAAATTAGGGTGGAAGCAAGGAAGCACCGTGGGTGAAGGCATCGGGGTCATCAAAGGCAAACTTCTCCGCACGGTCGGCATCGATGTCAAGCAGGTCACAGCGAGACAGCCCCGCCAGCACATCCCCCACCGTTGCCCACCTCCCCGGCTCCCTCTCCTTCACCTCCCCGCCCCCTGCTCACCCAAGAGTGCACACGGGGTGCATCACACATATGGCAGTAGAGGGGAGAGTACATGGCGCAGCACGGACGAGTATGCATGAAGCAGCAGAGACACATGATGCTGCGCAAGTGATGCAGGGCTTAGGAATAGAAGGGACGGCAAGGGCAATCCAGCAGGAGGGGGCATTACCAAGGGCGAGGGGGATGTGGGTGAAGTGTGGGACGGCGTTGAGGCGAGCCAGGGCGTGCAGCTGGTTGGACATGTCGGGATGCACCACCACCAGCGCCATCGACTCGTATGGGTGCACCTGCCTGTCGGAGGGTGGGGAGGCAGGCGAGGCAGGGCGAGGAGCAAGGGAGGGGGTGTTAGGGACACAGTGGTGAACATGTTCGGTGGGCGATGAGAACAGAGCGGTGGGGGTAAGAGCACAAAACACGCCGTCACAAGTGGCACAACACAGGGGAATCACCTGTAAGCATGAGCAGCAGCGAAGGCAGTCATGGCGTGCAGCAGCGGCCCAGCAGACACCACCGTGAACCGCCCCTCGCCCCCCTGCTTCTCCGCACTCCCCCCATGGTCCACCGCTGCAGGGGGGGGCAGCAGGTGGGAGCGCAGCACGGCCTCGAGGGTATCCAGCAGCTCCACATACGCCCCGTCTGCCGACGGCAGGTACCCCGTGTACTCCCCCTCCCCTGCCCTCCTCCCACCACTGCCCACACTGCCACCCACTCTGCCCGCACCTTCCTCCTCCCCGTGTGCTATCCCGCAACGTGTCCTCGCCTCGATAGGGTCCACACTCATCCCCCCCGGGTGGGTGTCCGCCTGCTGCTCCCGGGCGAGGTGCTTGGCACACACACGGTGCCGCGACTCCACCACGGGAATCTCCTCCTCCCACGCGCCCTCGCTGCTGCCCTCGTCCCACGCCCCGCTCACCACCCTCACATCGTCACTCACCTCCTCCTCGCCTCCATTCCCCTCCGCACTCCCCTCCTGCGCCCCTCCTGCCCCCTGCGTGCCCGCCTCCCCCTGTGCGCCGGGGTGGGCGAGGTGGGGGCAGATCCACTCGAAGAAGGCGGTGGCGCCCAGCCAGTCGTGCAGCAGGCCGGGCTGGAAGGCCGCGGAGTGCCGTGCCAGCAGGTGCACGAACGCGTGCTGCTGCAGCTGCACGTGCGGTGCCAATGGGTTCAGCAGCGGTGGCAGTGCGGGGGGCAGTGGGCTGTCAGGCTGGTGGGGGAGGGCAACGCAGAGAGAGAGAGGTGGGAGTCAGACGATGGCTTGAATTTGGGGTGCTTGCATTGCAAGGACGCTGCAAATCGCGATGACTCCTGGTGCAAGCCATTTGTGCAGTGAAAGGCCAATGTGCGCAGGGGAGCGAAGCAGGTGGGATGAAGTGAAGTGCGCCAGCAGTGCGGCAGAGTGGGCGACAAGGAGGCGTCAGGCGATCAAGGCGGCGGGAGGGAGGAAGTTACCTGGAAGTAGTCGGTGAGCGGGCGGTGGATAAGCGGTACTGGCAGGGGCTGCAGCGCCACGCCACATGGCAGCACGGGAGGGATGAGCGGGCCAAGCGCAGCAGGGGAGAGCAGAGGGGATCAGAGAGGAGCAGCGGGGAGCAGGGAGGAGCAGAGGGGAGCAGAGGGGAGCAGGGAGGAGCAGAGGGGGAGCAGAGGGGGAGCAGAAAGACACACATGAGTCGAGGACGAGCGTGGCAAGCGAGGTAGGTTGGGTAACGGTCGGACGCAAAATTCATGTCCTGCGACGCCGTACGGCCGGCCGTCGCACGGCGCATGACCTGGCGGGCGCAGCGCCGCAGCGGGCGCACGAAGCCCAGCAGGCGCGCTGGTGGAGAGCGGGCGCGCGCTCACCGCACACTGCCACACAGCGTTCGTGCAGTTGCTAGTGCCGCTAGCACGCGCGCAGAAACAGAGCGCGCAAATGTGTGATCTACGTTCTGCCATCATTCGAGCGGCGCGAAGAGGAGCATGGTGAGATACCTGTTGAAGAAAGTGCGAGCGTAACGACGATGCTGGCGGTGATGGTGCGGAGAGGAGAGAGGGAGAGAGTGGAAGATGAAAGCGAGCGATTCCCAGCACCACAACTGCCGCCAACGCCACAAGCAGAGCGGCTCGACTTCGCTGCAGAATCGCAGCCATCGGTCTCCGTTGGCGAGCAGCAGCAGCCATGGGATGTGCGGAGAGTGGAGCGATCCATGCTGCTGACGGAATCTGCTGATAGCAGCCGGGCGCGTCACTGATTCCGTAATACACACGCGCTACGAGGAGCTGGGAAGTAAACACTATGCCATTAAGTACATTGATGTGTCAAAACATACAGATATCTGTTTCATGTGTAGTTCCTCCGTATGCTTTCCTTTTCAGTCATCGCAAGAGCGAATGAAATTTGTAATTTTATTTTATCAATATATGACATCTCTCTCTATCGTTAAGAACAACCAGAACGCCCTGGTTGAGAAATTAAGGCTGAGCAGAATGAGAAGTACATTTTTGTGTGTTTATGAACACTTGGGAAGTCATGAGCGAACACCGTGGAGTGTCCATGTCGAATCAGCGGATGCTTGGACTCTCCAATCTGAACCGAGTCCCCATTGATCGAACAGAAGCATGCGCGGAGGCAGCTATCAAGGCAACGGCATGAGCTTTGGCGCTCAATTAGGGTTTTAGTAGTCGCTTGATAGCTGCTCTAAGAAGTTGCAGGCTGGTTGTATCAGTCCGGATGCAAACGCGCTTCTAGGAAATGCCCTCTGCGGTGGTCTCTGGCCACCCAAACATGGCAACAACAGAAGTGCAGGCGGCACAGCAGCGCGCTGTAGCGCTGTCCATGTTTCGTCAGTGGATAATCAACGCACTGCTCTCCAAGTCTAGAGTGCGTGCCCCAGAAGCCTATACCTGTTCATTAACGCCTCAAAGCTCTCTATTGTTCTCGTCGTGTTCATCGGGCCGCGTCCATAGGCACACATGCATGTACTCGAGCAGATCGTGAAGACTGACGTGTCGTCTCGCGCCACATGTCCTTGCGCATGAAGTATACGCGCGTGTTTTCGTACCAGGCGACATAAGTCCGCGCGTAGCCCACCCCAATTGCGCTGCTCTGTCATGATGCGTGGCAGGGCGACGGCACGGCGTACTGGCGGCTCATTCAAGAGATCGGTCAGATTCACGCCGATCCGGTGCGTTTCCCCTCGCATGTCCCTTTCGACGCGTTTTCCGCCTCGTCCTTTCATTCATGTCCATCCTCTCCATGTCCGCCGGCACCACGCTCGCCTTGAGGTCGGGCCTTTTTCGTTTTATCCTCCTAATTGGATGCTCCAGCTGGCGATTTTTAGTCCCCGCAGCCGCGTCGTGAGGCGGGTACTTGTGCTTGAGTATACGAACACGTTTCGCGTCGTGAAAGTGCATATTGTTGGTTGCACGCGGCTGTTTCGTGTGCGTGCGGCTGGCAGGCGAAGCTGCGGGTCTTCTCGCAGTGCGTCTCTTACTTCGACCCGGACGTGCACGAGGCGTTGCTCATTCAGGTGCGCTGCTCATTCAGGTGCGCTGCTCATTCAGGTGCGCTGCTCATTCAGGTGCGCTGCTCATTCAGATGCGTTGCTCATTCAGGTGCGCTGCTCATTCAGGTGCGCTGCTCATTCAGGTGCGCTGCTCATTTAGGTGCGCTGCTCATTCAGGTGCGCTGCTCATTCAGGTGCGCTGCTCATTCAGGTGCGCTGCTCATTCAGGTGCGCTGCTCATTCAGGTGCGCTGCTCATTCAGGTGCGCTGCTCATTCAGGTGCGCTGCTCATTCAGGTGCGCTGCTCATTCAGATGCGTTGCTCATTCAGGTGCGCTGCTCATTCAGGTGCGCTGCTCATTCAGGTGCGCTGCTCATTTAGGTGCGCTGCTCATTCAGGTGCGCTGCTCATTCAGGTGCGCTGCTCATTCAGGTGCGCTGCTCATTCAGGTGCGCTGCTCATTCAGGTGCGCTGCTCATTCAGGTGCGCTGCTCATTCAGGTGCGCTGCTCATTCAGGTGCGCTGCTCATTCAGGTGCGCTGCTCATTCAGATGCGTTGCTCATTCAGGTGCGCTGCTCATTCAGGTGCGCTGCTCATTCAGGTGCGCTGCTCATTTAGGTGCGCTGCTCATTCAGGTGCGCTGCTCATTCAGGTGCGCTGCTCATTCAGGTGCGCTGCTCATTCAGGTGCGCTGCTCATTCAGGTGCGCTGCTCATTCAGGTGCGCTGCTCATTCAGGTGCGCTGCTCATTCAGGTGCGCTGCTCATTCAGATGCGTTGCTCATTCAGGTGCGCTGCTCATTCAGGTGCGCTGCTCATTCAGGTGCGCTGCTCATTCAGGTGCGCTGCTCATTCAGGTGCGCTGCTCATTCAGGTGCGCTGCTCATTCAGGTGCGCTGCTCATTCAGGTGCGCTGCTCATTCAGGTGCGCTGCTCATTCAGGTGCGCTGCTCATTCAGATGCGTTGCTCATTCAGGTGCGCTGCTCATTCAGGTGCGCTGCTCATTCAGGTGCGCTGCTCATTCAGGTGCGCTGCTCATTCAGGTGCGCTGCTCATTCAGGTGCGCTGCTCATTTAGGTGCGCTGCTCATTCAGGTGCGCTGCTCATTCAGGTGCGCTGCTCATTCAGGTGCGCTGCTCATTCAGGTGCGCTGCTCATTCAGGTGCGCTGCTCATACAGGTGCGCTGCTCATTCAGATGCGCTGGACGTGAAATCTTCTTTTTAGGAGTCTCGCGCCATCGTCTCGTGCTCGTACCATGCAGTGGCATGGTGACAGCAGAGCTTTCCTCATTCACCTTGTGGTCGCAAGCATTCCGCTTCCGTTTTTTCTTCCGCGTTCTCATCCGTGCTGCTCCCCCTCGCCCTGCGCCGCTACCAGTTGCTGGGTGTGAGTCTGTGGACGTGCAACGCGGACGTGGCGGCGGCCATTATCGACTTGTGCATCAACCTTGTGAGCCGCCTCCGCCTCTCGCCTGCCCAGTAGCCTCGTGTCCTAACCGCCTTATAACGCTCGTTTCTGCCCATTCTCTCGCTCCATCCACCGCGCATGTATGCTCATCCTGGGCATCGTCGAGCTCCGTGTTCGCATGGACATGGCGTCCACGCGTATCACTGTGTGGCCAGTCCTGCACGTCCCAGGTGCGATGCACCTCTGCACCCACCGCACTGCATGCACCCACCGCACTGCATGCACCCCACACGGTTCCTGAAACCAGTGGTGGCGGTCGAATCAGCCTGTATTCTGAACGATCGCGCTGCAATTCGTTTCGCAGCGGTGGTGCTTTGAGTCGCGATGTGCATTATGGTACACTGCCGTGCGATGTGGTGGTTGGTTGGTGACGTGTTGCAGTGAGAAAGAGAGAGAGAGAGAGCCACTGAGTGGCCATGGATGACACGCGAAGCCCTCTCACAAGCCGCTGTGAAGCTGAAGCTGGAAAGCAGCGGAAAGGGTCAGTGGATGGATGGATGGATGGTGCTCTTGCACAGCACAGCACCCCAGGACCACCTTCACTGCCTCACGTTCAGTGGTTGTATTCCCCAACGGTGGTCTCATGGCTCTGCCCAGTACCCACGCCGCCATGCCTTATGTGTACAAAGAACCGGGTGGTAAAGTACCGTTGCCTCGAGGATTTGAAGCATGTCGTTTGCGCCTGCAGCACCGCAATCGCATTGGTGTGTCCTGCATGAAACACTTCAAAAAGTTTAGCCCTTGTGCAGAAACACGTTCACGTCTGCCCAAGTGTGCCCAGCTGTGCATGCATGCCATCCAACGTGGTTGTAACACCTTCTCCAGCTTGGTTCTTGTTCGCCTAGCCATTTTTCTTCCTAAGCCCTGCTCGCCAGAAGACAACTTGTTTGTGATGGCTCGCCAGAAGAAACCCTAAACCTTAAACCCCTGGCACTCTCAGATTGCGAAAATAATTCCTACTTTGTTCGTGCCCGTGTGCGTGCCCTTTTGTTCCCCATCATGACACAGGCGTCAGCCAACAGCGCATGTCTACCAGTGGCGCTGGACATCCTCGTGCGCAACCTCATGCCGCCCTCCTGCGGTGTGCCCGCCTTCATGGGCGCGCACCCGCCCAAGCTGCCCGCCTCCGCCCACCCAGGCGCGCCAGGGGGGGCTGGGGGGGCAGTGGCGGCGATAGTGGCGGCCAAGGCGCGCAAGGGGGAGGAGCTGCGGCGGCAGGGCGAGATGCTGCGGTGGGTGGTGGACGCCACCTCTCGCATCTGCCGCCTCGTGCCCACCGCCTCGAGCCGCCTGCTGCCCCTCCTGCTGCAGCGCATGCCGCACAAACGCGTTGACAAGGAGGTTAGTGCGGGAGGCGATGCATCATGCTCGTGCTGCGCTGCGTCTTAGGTGGTCGGGTCGCTGGGAATGGGTGCCAAGCTTTGATGCTCTGGCCGCCTGATTCTAATTTTGTTCTCCTCCTCCTTTCTGTTCGCCATCCTCATCCTCCCTCCCTTCTGTCACTGCCCTCGTGCCCCTGTCCGCCCATGCTGCTGTTGCTCCTGCCTGCTGCCCCCTGCTCCCTGGTGTGTGGTGGTGGCACCAGTTCCAGTGCGTGTACGTGGCGGGCATGTTTGCACTGGCGGAGGCGGAGGAGGGCGAGACGGTGAGGGACAGCATCCTGGCAGCCGTGGTGGACCACCTCATTCAGATCGATGTGCGTCCCTCTCACTCGTCCGCCCTGCTCCTGCTCCTGGCCCTTCTGCTCTGCGCTTTTCTCTTCTCACCCCCTTGCAGGCATGCACGCCTTGGTCACGCATCCGTTAGTCATGTATCATCCTGCGCTAGTGACACACCATCATCCCCGTCCCACGTGTCCGCCCCGTTGTTGTCGCTGCTCATTCAAGGTGGAGATCAGGTGGGAGGACATTTCAACGGATGCAGCTGTCGTTGCAACAACAAATGCTCCCGACTCAGGCCACACAGCAGAAGCAGCAGCAGCAGCGGCGGGGGCAACAGGCGCGGCGGGGGCGAGTCGGGTGTACATGTTCCACATGGACCTGCACGACTCCGCTGCTACCGCCCACCACGCCGCCCTCTCTGCTGCCGGCCACGCTGCAGCTTTCGAGGCCGGTGTGCCGGGTAGTGAGGCACGGCACGGGCTGCTGCCGTGCAGTGGTGGTGGTGGCGGGCACGGCAGCAGCGGGGGTCCAGCAGGGGCAGCAGCAGCAGTGGACGAGATGGCGGAGAAGATGGACGCCCTTATGGACCTCACCTTCCAACACATCCGCGCCCGCTCCCACGCCCACCATTTGCCCCAGGTGCTGCGCACGTGCACCCCACGCCACCCCCCCTGCTGCTACCCTGCCTGCCACTCCCCCTGCCGCTGCCACCACACCCCTGCTGCTCCCCCCACGCCCCCTGCTTCTCCCTACACTTGCTGCTGCTGCCGCACCCCCTTTGCTGATGACGCATCCATCCGTGAGCAGGGCCCTGCATAGCATATGTGCTCCGTGGCTGCATGCATGCACGGCAACACCATTCATGCTCGTGCTCGTCCCATGCTCATGGTCCTTCTGAGCCTTAAAGCCCGCTCTGTTTCATGCCTCCCTCCGGCTGCCCATGTGACCACACTCCTGTTTGATTTGTCTCGCATGAGCAGGTTTACGAAGCTTTGCTTCGCTCCTTTGACTCAACGATACTCGACACATACAAGTCCAAATTCACCCAGGCAAGGTCTAGCGTTCTTGAATCTGTTGAAGTCATTATCGTGTGTCTCTCACCTCAAATTCCCTTCTTCCCTCCCATGCCCTCTGGTCGTTTTCATGCCCCTAGCTGTGACTGAACAGAGAATCTGCTCCTTGCATGGACATGACCAGTAGCTGGCTTCCCGTCTCAGTCATGCATTACCGTTTCGCTCCAGCCTTGGGATAGTCAGGCCACAAGATGATCACTCTAACTGCTCTTTGCTGTGCTCCTGCTCCCCCCCCCCCGCAGTTCCTGCTATTCTTTGCATGCTCCCTCAACCCCGCCTCCTTGGCGGCTGCCTTTGCCTCTCATCTCACTGACATCCTCACATCACCCTCACGCTCCCTCAACTCAAGGTGGGTCGCTGGTGCTCACTGCATGCCAAGGACTGGTGCTCACTGCATGCCAAGGACTGCGCTTCCCGCATGCTAGTTGGATCATGGCGTGCTTGTGTCCCAGTAAGATCTGGAGGGTATATGCTTAAGTCAATGATGTGCCACTGCTACTATGCTGTGCATGCAGCGGATAGCCAGGTATATGCTTCTTCTATTCTAGCATATGATTTTGCCACTTTCTTGAGGTCTTTATTCTCTCCCACCCCTCGCCCTCGCCCTTCCCCTTGCCCTTTCAGAATGTCCGCTGCAGCCTACCTGGCTAGTTTCCTCGCGCGAGCGTCTTTCATCCCACTCATGCACATCGTCTCCTCCCTCACTCGGTACTCCTCTCACCCACACCCTCTGCTCCACCTCCTCTTGACCCCTCACCAGCACACCATTCTCTTGAAAGCTTATCCTCCATGCGCCTTCAGTGGTGCATGTTGGTTGAGCTTTACAGCTGCGCATGGATGCCGTACAAGCATGCGCACACTAGGTGTTCTTTTGTGCCTCGTGAACACAGGTACAGTGCATGTTGCTTTTGATTTCCACCGTGAACGCAATGCGTGGAAGGCTGCCTCTGATGTTGTGGGTGGGGATGCCCTTTGTGTGGCCCTGACCTGAACCCGTGTGCCCCGCCAGAGTGGTGGAGTGGTGCCTGGCGCATTCCCACAGCCGTCGCCCCGACTCACCCACTGGCAGCAGCACTGCTGCCAGCAGAAGTAGCAGAGGGCGAGAGGGGAGGCAGGGCAAGGCGGAGAGGGCAGCCCCCTCGCCTAGAGCAAGCACGGGTGGGCCCGGAAGAGGCAGCGATGGGGGTGGCACCGGTGGCTCGGGGTCTCCTCGCTCGCAACCCCCCTTGGCGCCCTCGCCACAGGATCACATCTTTTATGCCGCATGCCAGGTGGGTGATTCATGCATGGCAGAGGCAGCTCGCCAGGTAGTGTTGGCTCTCTAAACACAAATTTATGAGGAATAACACTTAGGAACATTCAACGTGATGTTACCTGCTCACGGGGCCTGGTCCCCTCTCTGCCCTGCGTGTGCACCCCCCCCCAGGCGGTGCTGTACGTGCTGTGCTACCGCATGCAGCACCTCAGGGCCGACTCACAGGCCAACTCCGCTCTCCACGCCATGCCGCTCAACCAGCTGCTCTCCTCCCACCTGTGCCCCCTCTCGGTGAGCCCATCACCCATTCGCGTCCACCTGCCTCTTCCTTGCTTTGCCATCACTGCATTATTCTATGCAGAAGGTTGTGTACATCTCCAGGTGCGTGCTATGCAGCTCAGTGCACTGCATTGCAAACCGTGGGTGTGGGTGTGGCAGGTGTGTTTGGAGTCGGTGGTGTTTGAGTTCACCCGCCAGGCCAAGCTGCTCGCCCTGCTGGACTGCGATGCCATCACTGCAGCGCAGCAGCATGCAGAGCACGGGGCTGGCAGTGCAGAGGGGGGAGAGAGGGCAGCAGCACGGTTCGGAGGGGAGAACGAGCTGGACATGTTCTTCCCCTTCGACCCCTACCTGCTCCACCACTCCCTCAGGTTTACTCCCTCACCCGTCTCTGTTTTATTAATTTGTTTTCCATACTGATTGTGTTGGGGCTTTCATAGTTGTGTGCATGTGGTTGTCCTGTGGTGCTCCTGTTCTCAACACGGCCTGTACGGTGACTCACGGCCGCACCTGCAATGGCCCTTCAGGTTCATTGACCCCATCTTCAACCGCTGGACTCAGCCGTTTGCGGACGAGTTGGCAGCAGCAGAGGATGAGGAGGCAGACACTGAGGACGAAGACGAGGACGAGGAGGAGGAGGAGTACACGGATGATGAGGAGGAGGAGTCGTCATCGGAGGGGGAGGACAGTGCAGCAGAGCGGCTGGGCATGAGCTTCAGTGCCAGTGATGCCTTGCCCGCCGATAAGCTCATGGAGCAGGGGCTGCGCGCAGGGAGGGGAGCAGTGGCGTGCCAGGGCAGAGGGGGAGGCAGAGGGCGAGGGCGGGGTGGACCCGGGGTGGTGCACGAGAGTGATTCGGAGGATGAGCATGAGGCGGAGGCCATGTCCTTCACACCGCCTGCACACGCTCCTTTGCCAGCCCGCCTCCCAGGAAAGCTTCCTTCTAGGCTTCGCTGACAAGTGAAGGACTGTTTTGCACAGCTGTCTATGTTTCTTAGGTTGGTACTTGCATGGAAAATGTTACCTCCCTCCTGTTCAGCCATGCATATGTGCTCTACTCTCAGGATATAAAAGACTAGCTAATGTCCGATATTGTTAATGCATATGGTTTGGGGGCTCTATAGTAAGCAGGGCCTATAATTGGGTAAATAATAATCCATGCCAGGCTTTTCAGACGAAATACTCTTAGGGGTACATACATTCTTGAAGCGCGTCACAAATGCGCATCTCAAACGACAGGATACAATGCGATGGAGAAACTCGATTCTTAGGTGTAATGTGGTGCAGAACGGTACATTGGTTTTATGACGTCATTGAGACACTTGTGTCAGAAACACCGTATTCTCCCGGATATAAGACCCGGGGGACTTTCCTAAAATAGAGGCAAATTCACTAGGGTGAACATTTAATCGGCACGAGTTCTATAAGTCCCGGGTACACTTACAAGTACACTCATGCGATTTAGGGGTGTACACTTGAATTTGGAGGGGGGGGGGGGGGGGGGGGGGGGGGGGTCTTATGTTCGAAGCGAAAAACAACCCGCGTGCGCGGAATTCTCGCGTGCGGCTCGTCAGAAGCGTCAGATTTTGTATCTGACGCGGTTAGTGTGTTAGAACTCGAGTCTGACACAAATGACGTGTCAGAATTCGGATTTTGTGCCTCTAAAAGCTGACGCGCATATTCATTTTCAACATGTGTAAACAGAAAAGGGGGGTCTTAAAATGATTATTGGCACAGGGGGGGTCCTCTCACATGTCATACATATTAAGAGTCCCAAACTCGAACATAAGTCCCGGGGGTCTTTTTTTCGGGAGGGTCCTATATCCGGGAGAATACGGCAGTAGCGAGAAAGTTGAAACAGGAAAGAGGGGTTTCACTAGCAAACAATGGGGTGCATATAGGAAACCCTAATTTGGGTTGTACTCACTATAGAGTACCCCACTACAGACTAGAGAAATATAGCATCCTGACCAGGGGTTTTTTTATCAGTGTAATTTACTCTGTTTCTCTGAAAATCAGAGTGGTTTTTGGGGGGTCACTCTGTACCTGCTGGGTAATTTTTTTGAGAGTTACTTGTTCTCTGATCTGTCAGGGTTTTTGTGAAAGTTCACTCTGGAGCGGCAATGTTTCTTTCCTGGATAGTGAGATTACTCTGTATGGGGGATACATGTACCCCCGAACCCCCACATTCCCCCTTATCCCCGTGCTGCCGGTTTTGACCGAAGCGCATGGGATATCACTCTTGTTTCGCTCGTGTGTTGGCACTACCTGAGGTTCTGATTGGCCGGAAAGGCATATTTCATGCCAGCGCACGCAGGCAGCCACCCACTAGATACATCGCTGGCTTTGCGTAATCCAACAGCTTTGAACAATCCTCAATTTACTGGCATGATACGGTAGCTTTCTTTGGTGCACCGATTTCGTGCGCGGCGCGCACATCCACACCTGTTGCTCGGCTGGCAGACGGGGTCACCCCCAAACCCCTTCCTGTCCTCCCATTATATTTGTTCCCACTGCAATGCTCTTCAACGCTCCAGTATAGCAAGTGTACAGTGGGCTTCTCCTGCCACAGCCCCGCCTCCTGCAGCTTTGTTTAGCTCTGAAGACCATGGATACTAGCAACGCCGAGGGAGACCCGGCTGATCCCGACGTCAGGCCGTCTTGTAGCACACCCCCTGCGACTGGGCTTCAGTTTCTGCGCGGTGTGCATGAAGTTCACTTTCGCGATGAAGAGGCCCTGGGCGATGGCGGTACTGAATGGGTGCGACGTGGAATCTGGCGACATGGAAGATGGGAACGACGCGTGGTGTCCATCTCCGCGCCCGATGAATGACGCTGCAGAGTCAGACGGTGTTGAGGAGTGGGTCGCCTCGCTGCGAAACAAGGTTGCTGCAGAGCCGGCTGCGACGGTTGCTACGCAGGTCATTGATGCGGCCACTCCGGAGTCGACCGGTTCAATTGCTCCGAAAAAGCGACGATTTACGCAGCACGTTCTGCAGTGGGGAACACCGCCGCCGAAGCCTGTCGCTCCCCCTCCCCGTCCTGCCCCACCCCCCATTCGTCCCCTTTAAAAAAAAAAAAAAAAAGGAGAAGGCGTACCTGAAGGCGCAGAAGAATTACACGTCGGATTGGCTGCCGAAGTTCGATTGGCTCATTCTGGACAAGACGCCAGAGGGTGACCCGTGTCTGCGATGTAGTGTCTGCATGGAGCACGGGAAGGACAACGCGCGTTACGGTCGCAATGGTGCTGGCGGACGTGATCTGCTGATCGGATCGATGCGGTGGCATGAGAACAGCGCGAAACACGAAGAGGCGATGAAAAAGCAGGCCAACCTTCTGCATAAAATCGTGGACCAGAAGAAGATCGAAGACTTCGCGAGGGGTGATCCCGAAGGTTGCCGCGTCGCGGTTCTCATGCGCGCCATGCGATTTGTATGCCGTACCGACACACCCATCCACATGTACCCTCAGGTCGTTCAGCTTCTCGCCGAGGAGGGGGTCGCCAACATACCGCGTCAAAGCTACGGAGTGTACATCACACAGTGAGTTGTGGTTGTCTTGAATTTGTTTACCGCATACATCTGTGTTACCTGATGCTAAGGCATTATGCATTGTGTGTTTGCAGGTACGGTTTTTCCGAGATGGTCAAAGCTCTCACCGTGTACCTGACCAGAGAACAATTGCGCCACCTCCACACCTCGCCCTTCATCGGCCTCATGTGCGACGAGAGTACCAATCGCGCTCGTGGCAAACACATGACTGTGTTTGTCACGTTTCTCAAGAACAACGTGGTTGTAACCGAGTTTATCGCGTTACTCCGTCCAGCAGTGTGATGCTGCAGTGCTACTGAGCGCTCTGCTCCAGCATCTTGAGACGGTAGGCGTTGATTTGCAGAAGATTTCTGGTATGTCCACGGACGGCGCGGCAGTGATGATCGGGGGCACGTCAGAACTTGTCACACGATTGCGCGTCCACGTCCCCCACCTTGTCGGCTGCCACTGCATTGCGCATCGGTACGTGTTTCGGGACTGTGCTACTGATTGATCGGTATTCCGTTTTTAAAATTTGATTGTTACGTAACATTCGTATTCAATGATTTTTATTTATGCTTGCAGTGAAGCACTCGCGGTGAAGGAGACTGCCGCAGCCGAACAGTTCAAAGACTTCGGCATGGTAGACAAAGCCATCCGGGAAGTTGGCGAGATCGTGGGGAGATCCACGCCCTGGTACGAGAGGTTCAAGGAGCTCCAACTCGTGATCCACAACACCAACCTCGAGTACCAGGGACGTTTCCACGTGCGATGGCTCTCCCGTGCCGATGCTGTCAACCGGCTGGTCAAGATTTTGGGGTCGGCAATCGTGCTGTTCCTGGAGTACAAGCACAAGATCGCCGCGGTTGTGAAGACCCTGAAATTTCACTTCTGTCTGTACTTCTTGGCAGATATTTTGGGGGAGTTGAACTCCCTGAATCGTTTCTTCCAACGACGCAAGGTACTTTGTGGCCATGTATCTTGTTGTTACGTATGTTTAATTGTCTTTATTCTTCTTTTTATTTCAAAGAATAACAATATCTTTGCTTGACCCGGTCCCGCAGGTGGAGGTGACGCAAGTCACGGAGGAGGTCGACCATGTGGTTTCCCTCATAGAGCACCGCTACATCGACTACGAGGGGTCTTTCGGGGTGGGACTGAGTGTCAGAATCCCAGCCACTAACCACTGGGATAAAAGGGCTTGTTTGTGTAGCGGGTGAGTGCGCCCATAACCCCCCAGGTCGACGTGCCTGTAACCCTTCCCTAGGATCAATCGGGGATCTCCAGTGGACCTCTGACACCCCCCCGCACTGGGATGCTCGAGGTGCACACACCGGGATTCGAACTCGAGACCTTCGCTCTGATAACATGTCAGAATCCCAGCCACTAACCACTGGGATAAAAGGGCTTGTTTGTGTAGCGGGTGAGTGCGCCCATAACCCCCTCAGGCCGACGTGCCTGTAACCCTTCCCTAGGATCAATCGGGGATCTCCAGTGGACCTCTGACACTAAGCACCCACTTGTCGCCATTCGTGGCACGTGTTAAGAAAGGGGACAAGAAGGTGAAAATGGAAGGTGTGGACGCTAGCGGCAGACCCGTCAAGCACACCATTGAGCTCAGCGAGCTGCCGGACAAAAACCACAAGTTCGGCGGTACCCTGGCAGATTGCGTGAAGATGGGCAAGGCCTTCGCCCGTGAGGTCGTGTACAACCTCAAGCACCGCATGCGGGATCTTCGTCGAATGGGCGGCATGAAGCTTTTCAGGGTGGACAAGTGGCCATCAAATTCGGACACGTGTGCGAGACGTTGTGCCACCTGGCTCCGCGAGAATTCGCAACTGTTCAACCACCAGCTGCCAGGTAATTGATAAAACCTAGTTTCAGTCGTATATGTCTGCTTCTTTTAAATCATGCCTTACATGAATTTCTAACAAATCTTCGCACATATGCATCCCTTTGTGTAATGTTTTGGTACGATTCGACCTGCGGGCAGCCGAACTTGAGCTGAAGACATTTTGTCACATCATGAAGATGCACCACGAGGACGAGGACTTCTTCTAGGCGCTGACGAACATGCTGAGGACACGCGACTTGCCGCGTACTTACCCTAACATCATGACCTTGTGGCAGGCGTTGGCCGTCCTGCCACTCAGCACCGTCGAATGCGAACGTGGATTTTCACGCCAGAACATCATCAAGAGCTGGCAGCGCACGACTCTCAACGACACGCGCCTCACCGAACTCATAAGCATCCACATGCTCGACTACAACGTGGAGTGGCCAGATGTTGTGGACATCTGGCGCAAGCAGAAGAAAAGGCGGCCTACAAAATCACCTGCACCCGTCCAACCTGCAAACGACAAGGGCAAGCCAGAGGCCATTTCGGACGACGAATGGGAGGATGACGTGGCAGACGATGAGTGAGCCTGTAATAGTGGGTCATTGTGTACAATACAATGTGAATATGAAGTATAAAAAATCAACATTCCTTGCAAGACAACAATACAAGAAACAAAGCATACACATCAGGGTTAAAGGTAAAATTACTATGAGATGCCAGGGTTCTGAACCAGAAAGCTTGTGATACACTGACACTTAAGAGAATGGCTCGCCAAACACTCTGGATTTCAATGTCAAACCAAAAACGCCTTTGGAAACCAGTGTACTCTAAAACGAAAAAAAACCCCTGATTCTGACACACCCCCATAGGCAAAGTGGGGTATGATCAGCACAGCAAGCAGTCGCATAAGAAGTTCACAAGCACAAGCAAAGCTAGAGGCAGTCACAGAGGGCAAGTGAGGAGGAGGAGGGACTGTGAGAGGAGTGGAGATAGGAGGCGACGGGTGAAGCCGCAGACACACGGGCAACAGGAGCGGCATGCACGGTGGCTACCGGAGCAAGGGCCCCGGACTACAGGAGTAACTGGCTCCGCGGCTAAGACGAGCGGCAGGAGCAACGGACCAATGGGCGACTGGCGCAGCAGGCTCGCTGGGCTACCGGAGCAAGGGCCCCGGACTACTGGCGCTGCTGACGTCACGACGGCTACCTCCGCTCAACCTCCCCCAACTGTCCCACACCCCTTTCACACACCCCCCTATGCACCCCTAGCTCCACTCCCACGGCACCCCCCTAGCGCCACTCCCTCGGCTCCCACACATCCACCCCCCTCAGCGGCAGCTGTAGCAGTGGGAGACGGACGAGGAGTAGGAGTAGGGGATGGCTCACACACCCGCCACCCCCATACCCGCCACCCCCATACCCCAAACGCAGGCGGCGCGCGCGCGGCGTGGGGCAGATACGCGGGCAGCAGCTGGGGCGGCGTGCGAGCGGAAGCGGGGCGGCGCGCGGGTCCCTGGGGTGCTTCGACAGGCGACGGGCAGGGAGGCGCGCGGGCCCCGAGGGCGCCGCGATGGGCGAAGGGAGGGGGGGCGACGTGCGGGCCCCCAGGGTGCCGCGACGGGCGACGGGAGGGGGGGCGACGCGCGGGCCTCCAGGGCGCCGCGATGGGCGACGGGAGGGGGCGGCGCGCGGGCCCCCAGGGCGCCGCGACGGGCGCCCGGGGCGCGCGGCGGGCAGGAAACCGCCACGCGCCCCGAGCTCATGGCGGGCAGAAAACCGCCGCGCGCCCCGAGCGCGCGGTGGGAGGAAAAAACGCCACGCGCGCAGGGCGCACAGCAAGCAAAGACGTCGCGCGCCCGAGGCGCGCGACAAGTAGGACAGCAGCGGAAGCAGGTGGGCCCACAGGCCAGGAGCGTTCTCGCTCTGTTAGCATGTCAGAAACAGTAGCGAGAAAGTTGAAACAAGAAAGAGGGGTTTCACTAGCAAACAATGGGATACATATAGGAACCCTAATTTGGGTTGTACTCACTATAGAGTACCCCACTACAGACTAGAGAAATATAGCATTCTGACAACTTGTGCCGATACACGAATGTGCCCGTCAAAACATTTGATGTTTATACCTATCTAGGCTATGTAGGGGCTAAACTTAGGGGATACACACCTGAGGGGGTGTCTGCCGACAAATGGTAACGAAGCGCATGGATCCCTTTAGACGTAGGGAAAAACATCGAACGACCTGAATGTTGTTGCATACTCGGGTAGTCCATGTTCAAATACACCTACCAGAGCAATTTCAGCTAGGTTTGTGCGCACGAAAAAAGTTCGGCGCCAGCGATGACGGCTTTGTCTGCCGACAAATGGTAACGAAGCGCATGGATCCCTATAGGCGTAGGGAAATGTTAAAATATAGAAGCAATGAATCAATGAACTATAAGAGAGTTTGGTACAAGAAGAAACCCTAAAGGGGTTGTACCCCACATTGGCTACCCCACTACAGCCTACACATTATAATATAACAGATATAATTTGACACACCCCCATAGGCAAAGTGGGGGAGAACAAGGGGTCACAAGACCAGTCAAGAAAAGCAAAGCAAGCTCAGGGTGGATCACAACGTCACCACACACTCCGAGCACAAGCAAAGGGCCACAAGGCCAATTCACATGCAGAGGTATATATGCAACAACAACAACAGTACAGTGATCACTACCTAGCAAGAGCAAGCATGCAGGAATATATATAAATCACAGTACAAGCAAAGTCACGAAGTGAGCAAGTGAGACGAAACAGGCACAAGGCCTAACATAGTCCCCGACCGCCACCGCCGCTGTCACCACCGCCCCAGCCGCCACCGCCGCCGCCACCACCGCCACCACCGCCGCCGCCACCCTCTCCGCCGCCACTGCCTCTACCGCCGCTACCGACGCTACCACTCCCGCCAGCACTCCCGCCACCAGTCCCTCCGCCATCTCCTCCTCCTCCACCTCCTCCACCATCACCTCCGGTGCCTCCTCCGCTACTCTTGGCTCCCTTGCCCTTGCCGTTGCGGCGCCTCCCACTAGGAGCAGAAGCAGCACCAACATACTCAGCACCAAGGAAGTCAACAGCAGCAGCAGTAGCATAGGAGGGGGCAAGGGGAGAGGGAGAGCACCCCTCAAAGATGGGGGTGCGAGGAGCGCCACGAGCAGCACCTACAGCGACAATGCTCTTCTCGGCTGCAAGGAGGTGCTCCTCTAGGAGGTCGACAGTGAGCTCGGTGGGACAGCGAGCGAGAAAGTGGTCCCTGACCGAGCGAAGGGAGTCAGGGAGACGGGTGACTATGAAGTGGAGGGTCCAGTACATCGGAGGCGGGTTCTTAGCACAGAACTCTTTGGGGAGGGTGGCGCAAAGGCGAGTGTCACTAGTGCGAAGGTGGGTGATGAGATCGGCAACTGTGGCAAAGGTGGACAGCTCAGGAAACAGGTGGGGTAGCATGAGGCGGCTAAGCTCAGCAGTGGCAGGGGAGGAGTATCGAGCAACTACAGCGTCGTACAGGGCCTTAGCGGTTTTATGTTCGCCAAATTGCGTGAGTTCGGCTAACGACAGGTGGTTGCAAACGGCTAGGCGAGCAGCAGCGTCACGAGTCTGCCACTGGGAACGGGCGCTAAGCTCAGCTGTGGCAGCAGGAGCGACTGAGGCACCAGACGTGTGGTCAAAGAGCGAGACATTGTCTTTGCTATCGCTCATCAGGAACAGCTGCAGGTCATCGAGCCAGGTCTCGAACTGAATCGGGCGGCCCTCCGTGTCGAACGACAGAACACGGAGGGTGGCCATAGCTGCTAGCGCAGGATTGGCAGGGCAGAGCGATTGCAGGCAAGCAGCAGCAGCAGAGGCGGCGCGCTGGGCTGAAGTGGGCGGCCGCAGGAGGGGCAGGCGCAGAGGCGGTGCGCGGGGCCTAGCGTGCCGCCAAAGCAGTGGCAGGCGGCGCGCGGGGCAGCAGGCGGCCGACAAAGCAGCAGGGCGGTCGGCGCACGGGACGTAGCAGGCAGCCGCGGCAGGGAAAGGCGGCGCGCGCGGCAACAGGCGGCCGGCAGGGCAACAGGGTGGGTCGCAGGCAGAGCGAAGCGGGCGACCGCAGCAGTAGGGCGGGCGGCGCACGGGCGCAGCAGGGCAGCGCGATAGGTGGCGCGCGGGGCGTAGCGGGCAGCCGCGGCAGAGGCAGGCGGTGCGCAGGGCTACGAGCGGCCGGCAGGGCAACAGGGCGGGCAGCGCACGGGGCTGCGGGGCAGTGCGGCGGGCGGCGCGCGGGGCGTAGCAGGCAGCCGCGGCATGAGCAGGCGGCGCAAGGGGCAGCGGGCGGCCGGCGAGGCAGCGTGCGGGGTGCAGGTGGGGCACGCAGGCTGCTAGTGGGCGGTGCGCGGGCCGACAGGAGCTGCGCGCAGGCTGCGCGGGCAGCGGGCGGGTCGCGCGGGCTGGTAGCAAGCGGCGCGAGGGCCGGCAGGGGCGACGCGCGGGCCGCGCAGGCTGCACGGAGCGGCGCGACTTAGGGCAGAGCAGGGCGTGCGCGGGGCTGCACAACGCAGGGCAGAGTAGGGCGTGCGCGGGCGGCGCAACGCAAGGCAGGGCGCGGGGTAACGTGGTAATCACAGATGGTTGGTGGGCCCGAAAAAAACGGTCCTACGGACCTACTGCTCTGATACTATGTTAAAATCTAGAAGCAATGAATCAATGAATTATCAGAGAGTCTGGTACAAGTAGAAACCCTAAAGGGGTTGTACCCCATATTGGCTACCCCACTACAACCTACACATTATAATATAACAGATATAGTTTGACAGGAAAAGCATCGAACGACCTGAATGTTGTTGCATATTCGGGTGGCCCATGTTCAAATACACCTACCAGAGCAATTTGAGCTTGGTTCGTGCGCACAGAAATGTTCGGCGTCTGCAATGACGGCTGTATCAGCCGACAAATGGTAACGAAGCGCATGGATCCCTATAGGCGTAGGGAAAAGCATCGAACGACCTGAATGTTGTTGCATATTCGGGTTTCCCATGTTCAAATGCACCTACTAGAGCAATTTTAGGCTTGGTTCGTGCGCACAGAAAAGTTCGGCGCCTGCGATGACGGCTGTGTCTGCCGACAAATGGTAACGAAGCGCATGGATCCCTATAGGCGTAGGGAAAAGCATCGAACGACCTGAATGTGCTGCATATTCGAGTGGCCCATGCTCAAATACACCTACCAGAGCAATTTCAGCTTGGTTGGTGCGCACTAAAAAGTTCGGCGCCTGCGATGAAGGTTGTGTCTGGCGACAAATGGTAACGAAGTGCATGGATTCCTGTAGGCGTAGGGAAAAGCATTGAACAACCTGAATTGTTGTTGCATATTCGGGTGGCACATGCTCAAATACATATACCAGAGCAATTTCAGCTTGGTTCGTGCGCACAGAAAAGTTCGGCGCTGCCGACAAATGGTAACGAAGTGCATGAATCCCTATTGTCGTATGGAAAAGCATCGAACGACCTGAACGTTGTTGCATATTCGGGTTTCCCATATTCAAATACGCATACTAGAGCAATTTCAGCTTGGTTCGTGCGCACAGAGTAGTTCGGCGCCTGCGATGACGGCTGTGTCTACTGACAAATAGTAACGAAGCGCATAGATCCCTATAGGCGTAGGGAAAAGTTTCGAACGACCTGACTGTTGCTGCATATTTGCGTGGCCCATGCTAAAATACACCTACCAGAGCAATTTTGGCTTGGTTCGTGCACACAGAAAAGTTCGGCACCTGCAATGACGGCTGTGTTTGCCGACAAATAGTAACAAATAGCATGGATCTCTGTAGGCGTAGGGAAAAGCATCGAACGAATTGAATGTTGTTGCATATTCGGGTGGCCCATGCTCAAATACATGTACTAGAGCAATTTTAGCTTGGTTCGTGCGTACAGAATGTTCGGCGCTTGCGATGACAGCTATGTCTCTTGACAAATGGTAAGGAAGTGCATCCTATCGGCGTACGGAAAAGCATCGAACGACCTAGATGTCGTTGCATATTCGGGTTTTCCATGTTCAAATACACCTACTAGAGCAATTTCAGCTTGGTTCGTGCGCACAGAAAAGTTCGGCGCCTGCGATGACGGCTGTGTCTGCCGACAAATGGTAACGAAGCGCATGGACTCATAATGGTATCTAAAAACGCATCGAATGACCTGAATGTTGTTGCATATTCGGGTGTGTCAGAAATAACTGAGCAGGAATGATGTGACTAACAGGAACAACAGTACAAATATGAAACCCTAACCTGGTATACCCCCTAAGGTATCACCCACTACAGCCTAGAACAATATAAACATATAATGTTTGACACACCCCCATAGGCAAAGTGGGGAAGACCTAGGGGTCACAAGACCAGTCAAGGTAAAGCAAGGCAACAACAAGCTCAGGGTGGACCTCAAGGGTTCCACACAAATTCCGAGCACAAACTAGCGGTCACAAGCCCAGTTCACATGCAAGTTTATAACAGATCATGATATACAATGATCACAACCTAGCAAGAGTAGACATGCAGGCATATATATATAATGATCACAGTATAAGCAAGGTCAAGAAGTGAGCAAGTGAGGTCCAGTAGGCACAAGGCCCAGAAGAGTACAAAAGCGCTGATGGTCAACAGGCGGAAGTGCCTTGGTGAACACATCAGCAAGGTTGGCCTCGGTGGCCACGTAACGCAGACGAAGCTGACCTCGCTGCTGCAGCTCTCGAGCAAGGAAGTACCGCAGAGCGATGTGCTTCGTTCTGTGCTCCAGTCTGTGCTCCTCACACAGGGCAATGGCTGCCTGGTTGTCGACGTACAGCACTGGAGGAGAACGAGGCCGCTCCCCAAGGTCGGTCAGCAGGTAGGTCAGCCAGCGTAGCTCCTGGGCAGCCATGGCTGTGGCGTAGATCTCAGCCTCGCAACTGGAGCTGAGAACAGAAGAAGAGCGTGTAGAGCGCCAAGAAACTGAGCCAGAGCCAAGGCTGAAGGAGTAACCCTGAGACGACCGCTGAGTGGCCTGGTCGTCTGCCCAAGAAGCGTCTGAGTGCCCTGTGAGAACAACTCGGTCTCGCCCTCCAAGCACAAGCCCCATGCCCGACGTACTGCACAAGTAGCGCAACACCCTCTTAGCGGCATCCATGTGCTCCTTCCTGTGACGGCCAGGAGCGACATAGCGTGCAAGGATGCTAAGAGGGTATGCAAGGTCAGGTCGAGTGCAGGTCATCAGGTACATGAGGCAGCCCACAAGCTCTGGGTACGGGCCACTCGACTCTACGGACTCATCCGAAGGCAGAGTTGAGAGCGAGTGACCGGTAGCCATAGGAGTGGACTGAGGCGAGGAGTACGTGAAGCGGAAGCGCTGGAGAACCTGCTGCACCATGTGCGACTGAGTCAGGGTGATGGTGCGCCGTGCTCTGTCCCGGGTGATCCGCAAGCCAAGATAGCTTGTCAGTTCACCCAGGTCTATGCACGTGTGTCTCCTCTGCAGCTCCGACTTCACGTAGGCGAGTCCTGCAGTGTCAGCAGTGGCAAAGACCAAGTCGTCGACGTACACGAGGATGTAGAACGGCGGCAGCGAAGTGTCGGTGCGCAAGAACAGCGACGGGTCAGCTGTAGAAGGTGCGAACCCAAGAGTCGCAAGTGTCGTCCTCAGTGTGTCGTGCCACTCACGTGGTGCCTGGCGGAGACCGTAGACCGGCCGCTGAAGCCTCCACTGGGTGCCAGGAGGAACCGGCCCAGTGAAGCCAGGAGGGCGGCGCAGCCAGATCTCCTCGTGCAGGCTGCCCTGCAAGAAAGCAGTGCTGAAGTCAAGTGAGTGAAGCTCGTAGTCGCGGTGAGCGGCTATGTGTAGCAGCACCCGAAGAGTGGTCATCTTCGGGGTGGGGGAGAAGGTCTGGAAGAAGTCTACTCCCTCTCGCTGACTGAAGCCTCGAGCCACGTAGCGTGCCTTGAAGACAGGCGGAGAACCCGGCGGCCGCTTCACCCTGAAAATCCACATGCCACTGACGATGTTCGCCCCAGGAGGGGGGACGTCGTCGACGTAGGTGCGTGTGGACTTCCAGGAAGCCATCTCTGCGTCCATGGCTGTCTGCCACTGAGAGGAGTAGGGACCCGCCATCGCCTCAGCGTAAGTGCGCGGGGTCGGGATGTCTGGTGCATCCGGGTCTCCCTCAGGGGCAACTAGCATGGACACGAGATGGGGCAAAGCAGCAGCAAAGCAATGGAACTCCTCCTGTCTGTCCTCAAGAACGTCCGTGCCAAGAGCACACGCACCCCCGACGGACGGAGGACAGGCAGACTCAGACTCAGACTCAGCCACTAGGCTAGCAGCGTAGTCTAGGCGACAGCAAGCAGCAAAGTCAACTAACTCAGCGACCAGAGCAGACGCAGCGGCGGACTCAAAAGAAGGGTCAGTGACAACGGTAGCAAGGAGACGCGTAACAGTGGGACTGGCAGCACGACGGGCGTCAGACTCCGGGTCAGGAAGAGTAGGTAGGGAGGACGCAGGAGGAGACGGCAGCGGGACACGCTGCGGAGCAGTGGAGGGACGCAGAGTCATGTAGTGAGTGCCAGGGACAGGAGGAGGACGCTCACGGGGGACACGACGACCAGTGCGAGCGGTACGAACAGGCGACGCAGGACGAGACTCAGGCTCACGACGCTCTGTAAGACCTCCTGTGGGACCAGCGTAAGGAGAGGGAGCAGGGAGAGGCGAGGCGGGCGGTAACTGTGACTGCGGCTGGACAGGTAGAGGACCCTCGACGGAGGGAGGAGGACCAGGAGGAGGAGCCTGACCAAGAACCTGCTGAAGGAGCGGGACGAAGTACGGTCGCGGCCGCGCAGCGTCTCCAGAAGCAGCAGAGACACCAGCGGCAGCCCCAGCGCCCAAGTCCTCAGCACCAGCAGTAGCTCCAACACCCGAGTCCTCAGTACCAGCAGTAGCTCCAACGCCCTGGTCCGCAGCACCAGCAGCAGCGTCACCGGTCGGGTCCTCAGCACCAGCAGCAGCGCCACCAGTCGGGTCCGCAGCACCAGTAGCAGCTCCAACGCCCGGGTCCTCAGCACCAGTAGCAGCTCCAACGTCCGAGTCCTCTGTACCAGCAGCAGCGCCACCAGTCGGGTCCGCAGCACCAGGAGCAGCTCCAACGTCCGGGTCCTCAGCACCTGTAGCAGCTCCAACGCCCGGGTCCGCAGCGCCAGGAGGACCACTCCGAAGACTGCAGCGCCGTGTGTACCACTCTCGAATCACCTGAATGGGGGGGAGCTCCTGGGAAGGAGGGGAAGTACCGGGACGAGCTCCAGCAGCACCTCTCCGGAGGCGGCAGTACTCGAGGTACCTCTCCTGCAGCTGCTGCGAGGAGAGGGCTCCTCCAGGCGTAGCACGCTCAGGCTCAGCACCCCCAGACGTAGCACCCCCAGACTCAGCACCTCCAGGCTCCGCACCCCCAGGCTCCGCACCCCCAGGCTCAGCACCCCCAGGCTCCGCACCTCCAGGCCCAGCACCCCCAGACTCAGCACTCCCAGGCTCAGCACCCCCAGACGCAGGACGCGAGTCAACAGCTACCTCGACAGGCTCACCCGGGTCTACCTGGGACACACCTGAGGGAGCGGCACCCTGAGGGGGGAGGGGGTCGGGTACCTCAGCACCTGGAGCGAGGAAGAGCGGCGGAGGGGGGAGGGGGGCAGTGCGGTAGGGGAAGAGGCGGTAGAAGGGGACGGACTCGTCAAAAGTGACGTCCTGA